TGTTCCGACCGAACTCAAACTAGCCTTCATTGCTCCATTCCTATACATAAAATGATTGAAACAAATTTAAATCAGTACAGTAATAATCCAAGGATAATTAAATTTTTAAACAATTTTTTCTCAAAAGTATCACCTCAAATAACTCCGTTCACGGCCGGGGACGGCCCAGTTAGTTACGGCGAGTCCATATCCATTATCTGTGCCGTTTCTCGTGGCGATCAGCCCCTTGAATTTTTCTGGTACTTCAAAAGGCAGCAAATAATAGCCGCAGAAAGACAGGATCTCACCATAGCAATAAATAAGCGCAGGAGTATACTTGAAATTGAGTCTGTGAGCGCCAGCCATGCTGGAGAGTACACGTGTACGGTCTCCAACGAAGCTGGCGCGACCAGCCACAGTACCGTTCTGGCCGTCAATGGTAAACAAAACAAAAATACAAAATGCAAACGGTTTATGTGTGAATGTGAATGTATCATTATCATTTGTCGCACGATCGATCTCAAACTAGTCTCCATCGCTCCGTTCCTATACATAAAAATTGTTTAAACAAATTTTAATTCATAGCAGTAATAATCCAATGATAATTAAACTTTTACCAAAAATGTTGTCGAAAAGTATCTCCTCAAATCGCACCGTTCACGCTGAGCGACGAACCGGTTAACTACGGTGAATCGGTGTCCGTAATTTGCGCCGTGTCGAAAGGCGACCAGCCCCTCGAGTTTTTCTGGTACTTTAACGGGGACCAAATCAAGGAGAGGCAGGATATCTCGATCGCGATCAACAAAAGGCGAAGCATCCTTGAGATCGAGTCAGTTAGTGCAAATCACGCAGGAGAGTATACCTGCACGGTATCGAATGAGGCAGGCGCGACCAGCCACAGTACTCATCTCGCTGTTAATGGTAAAAAACAAAACAAAACACTAGGTATATGACGATTGCTCTTAGTTTCTTATTTCACTTGCATTCAAAGCTCCCTTATTACCTCCCGAGAGAAAAGGATTTGACTAAAAAACTTGACATTTTTCAATAAGATAAAAAACGAATATTTTTGACCATTATGCTAATTTTTTTTAACTCGAAAAGTATCGCCACAAATCACACCGTTCACGCTCGGTGACGAACCTGTCAATTATGGCGAGTCCATATCCATCACTTGCGGCGTATCCAAAGGTGATCAGCCTTTGGAATTCCATTGGTATTTCAAAGGCGATCAGATATTAGCTGCTGACAGGCCTGATCTTTCCATTTCAACCAATAAACGTCGCAGTATTCTCGAGATAGATTCGGTTAGCGCCAAACACGCTGGAGAGTACACTTGTACGGTCTCCAACGAAGCTGGAGCTACGAGTCACAGTACTACTCTTGCTATTAATGGTAAATCGGCGCAAGAATTTACGTGTATTTTCGATTGTTGTTGTTGTTTTTTTGTTTTTAGAAATCATCTTATTATCCACATTCCTAAACCTTTTAAACAACGGATAGAGTTTTAATGACAGGAGTTTGAGGATAATATTTAACTACCAATTATCAGCTGCTAAATATTTATAGCCTTATCTTTTTTGTATAAAATTTTTGAAATAAGTAAAACGGTTTGTTTTCTTTTTTTTATATAAAGTATCTCCGCAAATCGCGCCATTTTCTCTGGGAGACGAACCCGTGAATTACGGCGAAGCTGTGTCGATAGCTTGCGCCGTATCAAAAGGCGATATGCCTCTACAATTTCAATGGTATTTCAAAGGGCAGCAAATAATAGCTGCCGAGAGGCAAGACCTCTCGATCTCGATCAACAAGAGGCGTAGTAACCTTGAGATCGAGTCCGTCGGTGCCCATCACGCTGGAGAGTATACGTGTACTGTATCCAACGAGGCTGGTGCAACGAGCCACAGTACCAATCTCGCTGTAAATGGTAAATCGGCTGGGGGATTCACGTGTTTTTTTCGATCGTTGTTGCTTTTTCTTTTAAAAATCATCCCCTACAATCCAAAACCTCCAAGAGAAAGGATAGAGTTTAATGACAAAATTTTAAGGATTGAATTTTTAAAAACACTTTTTTGAAACTTAAAATGCATAATTTTTTACTTTTTGTTTAAACGAAAGTATCTCCGCAAATTGCGCCATTTTCACTCGGCGACGAGCCCGTGAGTTATGGCGAGGCCGTGTCGATAACTTGCGCCGTATCCAAAGGTGATATGCCCCTACAATTTCAATGGTATTTCAAAGGGCAGCAAATAATAGCTGCCGAGAGGCAAGATCTATCGATCTCGATCAACAAGAGGCGTAGTAACCTCGAGATCGAGTCGGTCGGTGCTCATCACGCCGGCGAATATACCTGTACGGTGTCGAACGAAGCCGGCGCGACAAGTCACAGTACTAATCTCGCGGTCAATGGTAAATAGGCTGGGAAATTTACGTGTTATCTTCGGTTGTTGTTGTTGTTTTTATTGTTTATTAGATATCATTCCCCACATTCCAAAATCTCCAAGAGAAAGGATAGAGTTTAATGACAGAAACTTTAAGAATTGAATTAAAAAAAAAATTTTGAAACATAATAAAACCATTTTTACCTTTTCTTTTAACAAAAGTATCTCCGCAAATCGCGCCATTTTCACTTGGCGACGAGCCTGTTAATTACGGCGAAGCCGTGTCGATAACTTGCGCCGTGTCCAAGGGCGATCAGCCCCTCGAATTTTTCTGGTACCTCAACGGCCAGCTCGTCGATTCTGAAAAGCGTCCTGGCTTTCAAATACTGACGAGCAAACGTAGGAGTTTACTGGAGATAGAGGCGGTTCAGGCCAGTGACGCTGGCGAGTATACCTGTACGGTGTCTAATGAAGCCGGCGCGACTAGCCACAGTACCAATCTTGCTGTCAATGGTAAAAACATTAGGTGTATGACTATTCGAGTGTGCTCTTGGTTTTTTATTTCTTTTTTACGAATTAATACCATTCCTTACCCCACCAGAGAGAAAATGATATGATTCAACGAATAACTTAACTTTTCAATATAATTTAGAAAACAAATCTTTAATTTTTTCTGACTTTTGAATACTCTTGAAGTATCACCACAAATCACACCGTTTACGCTTGGCGACGAGCCTGTAAATTACGGCGAGTCCATATCCATCACTTGCGGCGTCTCGCGAGGCGATCAGCCCCTAGAATTCCGTTGGTACTTCAAAGGTCAGCAAATTGTTGCCGCTGAGCGGCAAGATCTCTCGATCGTTGTCAATAAGCGACGAAGTATCCTAGAAATTGAGTCGGTCGGTGCGCATCACGCTGGAGAATATACGTGCACTGTCTCTAATGAAGCTGGTGCGACCAGTCACAGTACCGATCTTACAGTTAATGGTAAAAAAATTAAATGTCTCGAATGTATTGAGTTCACGGGTGTTTATGGTTTTTTTATAGTTTCCACACAGACCCATGCTTGCAAAATCCCGAGAGAAAAGGATAAATCTAAATTGTCATAAAAACTGATTTTTTTAAATTAAATTTTAACAAATAATAATTAACATTTAATTTCATGCAACTAAAAGTATCTCCGCAAATCGTCCCATTCACGCTCGGCGACGAGGCCGTGAATTACGGCGATTCGGTCTCTCTGGCTTGCGCCGTCTCGCGCGGTGATCAACCCCTCGAGTTTCACTGGTTCCTTAACGGCGAGGAAATTACTGCTTCGGCAAGGCAGGATCTCACAGTGATCGTTAACAAGCGCAGGAGTAATCTTGAAATTGAGTCCGTGAGTGCCGATCACTCCGGCGAGTACACGTGCACCGTGTCCAATGAGGCTGGCACGACCAGTCACAGTACCAGCCTTGCTGTCAATGGTAAAATAAAAGGAAAAAACCAGCACCGACTTGGATGTTTTGTCTATAGATATTTTTTTGCGTTTTTTGATTTTTGATATTTTTCACAATACCGACGTTTGCCCAGAGAGAAAAGGATATTAATTTTTCGCAATACAATGTAAACGATTTTCTACTCTTCATTGACATTCTTAACTTTAAAAAATTTGAACTCGAATCTCAGTGTCTCCGCAAATTGTCCCCTTCACCCTCGGCGACGGTCCCGTTAATTCCGGCGAGTCGATATCGACGATCTGCACCATATCCCGGGGCGATCAGCCTCTGGAGTTTCATTGGTTCTTCCGAGGCGAGCCGATCGACGACGATCGTCAGAGCTTATCGATAACCAAGAGCAAGCGCCGGAGCATCCTCGAGATCGAGTCGGTTAGCGCCGGTCACGCCGGCGAGTACACCTGCACGGTGTCTAACGAGGCCGGGGCGACCAGCTATAGCGCAAATCTCGCCGTCAACGGTAAACGTTCAACCGCGTATACAATCGATAAATTGGTGTTTTAGGTTTTCTCAATACTTAACTCATTTAATCACTGACACCTATTTCCCAAGACTTCCATGAATTACAAAGGCGATCGACGAATGTAGATAAAAGTTTTAAGCGAAGAGCAATTACAGTATCTATAAACCGATCTTAACCGATTTTTTTCTGAAAAATTTTTCCACATAGTTCCCCCGCAAGTCGGTCCCGTGAGTCTCGGCGACGAACCCGTTAACTGGGGCGAGCAGGTCTCGGCCACCTGCAACGTCCTCAAGGGCGACGCCCCGATCGACATACACTGGACCCTGAACAGCCAGCCGATCGACGAGGCCCATCATCCGGACGTGCGCGTGTCGATGAGCGGCAAAAAGTTGTCCCTCTTGATCATAGACTCGGTCGCGGCGCATCATGCGGGCGAGTACACCTGCGTGGCGAAAAATCGGGCCGGCTCGTCGAGCCGCAGCACGATACTGGCCGTCAATGGTATTTAAGCAGAAAAAATTAAGTTGGCTTGTGTAATATAGTAGCAGGTAGATTTGTAAGGTACATATGGTTTGTTGTGAGTCCAATCGCACAATAATAAAACACCTCCTCGAAAACAATTGTCTCAATTTCCTATTTCCTTCTTTCTGTATCATTGAAAATCTGCCTATATCTCAACAGTCGCTCCGCAAATCGTGCCCTTCTCGTTCAGCGATCGTCCCGCCAATTCCGGCGAGTCGATGTCCGCCACGTGTTCCGTTTCCACGGGCGACTTTCCGCTCGCGATCACTTGGTACTTCGACGGCCAAAAGCTCACAGAGTCCCTGCTGGACGACGTAGTTGTTTCTACGAGCAAGCGCAGGAGTTTGTTAGAGATAGAGTCGGTTGGGGCGCATCACGCAGGCAGCTACAAATGCTCGGTCGAGAACGATGCCGGCACCGCTACCCATACTGCTGTTTTGATCGTCAACGGTAATTTTATAATTAAATAAGGAGAAGACGAAAAAAATCGCTGAAAGATTTTTTTGCACCTATACATTATCGAGTGTGTTTTCGCTTTGCAGCATATACTGTCATCTCATATAGATTATATACCAGTGCACCAGTTAATTTTTAAGTTGCATGAAACGCTTTTATATTACAAGACGCAGCTCTCCATGATTATACAAATCCCAGCTTATATTACGAAGACGAACCACCGATCGAATTTTATAATATAATTTAAGATATTTAAGATAAACAAATGAATTATTATCAATTCTCGACCTCTTCAAAATTAATTTTCTCAATCATCGATCATCTATCATCATCAGCCGCTCCGCAAATAGTTCCGTTCTCGTTCGCCGACAGAGCCGTGAATTCCGGCGAGTCGATATCGGCCACCTGTTCCGTGTCGGTAGGCGACAATCCCCTCGAGTTCAGCTGGTTCTTCAACGGAGAACCCATAGATACGACAGCGCGACCGGACATATCGATTACTTACAATAAGCGTCGAAGCGCCCTGGATATTGAGTCCGTTACCGCGGATAACAGCGGCGAATACACTTGCACTGTGTCGAACAAGGCGGGCGCTACCAGCCACAGTACGGCGCTAGTAGTCAACGGTATAATAATTTGCGAGTTTCACAACTTAGTTTTTAAGATAATTGTCGTTATAAGTTTTCTTATTGTTTAGCATCGTGTCCATCATGTGTTATCCTCCATAAGCTTCCTTCCTAAAAAAGTTAACGAAGATATTTTCGATTCGTTCGAGTTTGAGGTATTTTTTCGAATTATCATACATTGTCGGATGAGGAAATATTGAATCTTTATGTGAGTCTATAAAATAATAATAAACCAAATACATCGCGCTTAGCACCGCCACAAATCGCTCCATTCACAATGGGCCTGGAAGCGGCCAACTGGGGCGAGCAAATCTCGGCTACCTGCAGCGTTCTAAAAGGCGACAATCCCATCGAGATCCAATGGTCGCTAAACGGCCGAATTATAAACGAGGCCGACCATCCGGATATCGTGATAACCAAGAGTGGACGTAAGATCTCGCTACTAGTGATCGATTCCGTGAAAGCGCATCACGCCGGCGAGTACATATGCACGGCGAGCAATCTCGCGGGCTCGTCGAGTCACAGCGCGGTTCTCTCGGTCAATGGTACACCTAACATAAAATATCAAGTCGAATTGTAACATGTGGTACTTTTTTAGTCTACGCACAATAGTTCACATATATAGACTCCCATATGCCATCCTTTCGACTCTCATAATTAATTATCCAAACATTTGTTTTCTTCCTTCTTCATCTTCTTTATTTTTGTATCAGTCGCCCCTCAGATAGGCTCGTTCTCCTTCGGCGACGAGCCTTTGAACGCCGGCGAGACGGCCTCCCTGACCTGCATCGTCGCCAAGGGCGACTTTCCCCTGGAAATAATCTGGATGTTCAACGGTGCTCCGATCGATCCCAATGTAAAAGAGATTATCGTGAGCGAGACCGGCAAGCGCACGAAACAGCTGACGATCGACTCGGTTGGCGCCCAACACGCCGGAGAATATACGTGCGTGGCGTCCAATGTGGCCGGCTCGACCACCAGATCGGCCGCGTTGGTTGTGAACGGTATTTTTTTACACTCGAGTTCGGGAGAATGATTTGAAAAATGTAGCAAAGTCAATAAATCCTTGTGTCCTTCGATCAAATTCCCTATACAATTGACGACGACGACTTCTGACGCATAAAACCTTCATTATATTATATTGACCCTCCGCAGTCGCTCCTCAGATAGGCATAGGCTTTACATTCGGCGAGGAGCCGCTCAACGCCGGTGATATGGCCACTGTCACCTGTGCGGTTATCAAGGGCGATTCTCCGCTCGATATCGGCATCATGTTCGACGGTAAACCCATCGAAGAACAGGAAAAAAGTGGCATTTTGATAGCCAACTCGGGCAAGAGAGCCAAACAGTTGACCATCGAGGCGGTCGAGGCGAGACACGCCGGGGAGTACACGTGTGTAGCTTCGAATCTGGCGGGGGCGACCTCGAGGTCGGCCTTGTTGGCTGTCAACGGTATATAATTATAAGAACTAGGGGAATTGGAGTTTTTTGCACGCTGATGTGTTCTGTCAACGACTTGCGATGAGAAAATCCATAAATCCTACCATTACTTCACTTTCTTTATCCCTACACGTGGAACAATTTTGCAGTACCGCCTCAAATCACGCCGTTCTCGATCGACGAGGGACCGGTCAATTGGGGCGAGCAGGTGTCGCTGTTCTGTAGCGTGCTCAAGGGCGATCGACCCATGAAAATACACTGGCAGCTCAACGGCGAGATAATCGATCCGAAAAAGTCGCACGTCGACGGCGTGGCGATTACGAAAACGGGAAAAATGATTTCCGTGCTGAGTATCGACTCGGTGGCGGCGCATCACGCGGGAAATTACAGCTGCGTCGCGAGTAATGCTGCGGGACAGGCTCAATTGACGACAAGATTGTCCGTCAACGGTACTTTTTGATTTAAAAAACAAAAGCTGTCTGAGCGTATTATATAATTGAAAATTTTGAGTTTTATTTTGTACAATTGTTGTTGTATAATACATATATTTTTTAATAAGCTAATATGAATTGCTCAATTTTCTAGTTTCCAAAATTTTAGTTGCATTTAATTCAAAACTCCCCGATTCTAAATACCCGCAAGTAAGGAGTGAATACCCGTATAAAGCTACATCAAGATATTTTCAATAAAATATTCCTATTCCTAAATGAACTTGTATATTTGTAACTTTCCATTTGTGCCCGTATAGTCGCCCCTCAGATAAAAACATTCTCGTTCGGCGACGAGCCACTGAACGCTGGCGAGACTACTTCCATTCAGTGCGTCATTACCAAGGGAGACTTCCCCTTGGACATAAGCTTCATGTTCAAAGGCTCGCCCATAGTTCCCGGCGGCGACACGATTATTTCGGAAACGGGAAAACGCGCGAAGCAACTCATGATCGACTCGGTGAGCGCGAGGCACGTCGGCGAGTACACGTGTGTCGCGTCGAACGTGGCTGGCTCCACCTCGCACTCGGCTTATCTCGAAGTCAATGGTATTTTATATATGGTGCTCATAAAGTGGAATGTTGTCTGTTATTAGATATTTTGGTATTAGTGATAATTCAAGTCTCCTTCGATCGTCATACAATCCTTTTATAACCTATACCCAATTGTTTGTAATCTAAACGACGACCCTCTGGGATTTTTTATGTATTCAAGTACCTCCACAAATCGGCACCTTTTCCTTTGGCGAGGAGCCATTGAACGCCGGTGATACAGCCTCGGTCCAGTGCGTCGTGATGAAGGGCGATTTTCCCCTGGACATTAGCTTCACGTTTCAGTGTAAAGCCGTGGAGTCCGACGATGGTATTGTCGTCTCGGTGACGGGCAAACGAGCGAAACAGCTCATGCTCGACTCGGTTAGCGCCAAGCACGCCGGCGAGTACACGTGCATAGCGTCAAATGTGGCTGGCACGACCACCAGGTCGACGCTGCTCGCCGTCAATGGTAGTTTATACTGTATACTGGAATTTTTCGGAACGTTTAGATAGACATAGCACAAGTTTTATGTATAAGTTTACATTTTTCATCCATCCCCCATGAATCCAAAATGATACACATATCTCAAGGATCGCTCGAAATTCTATATACCCTCGAAGGTCTTGGCAGGTATTAGAGTTTAGATAATGATTGTTCCTCTTTTTTATTTCTTTTTCGCATACAGTCGCTCCACAGATAGGCATGTTTTCATTCGGTGACGAACCCCTGAATGCCGGCGACATGGCTTCGGTCCAATGCGCCGTAATGAAGGGCGATTTTCCCCTGGACATTAGCTTCATGTTCAAAAACGAGCCCATCGTGTCCAGTGACGAAGTTGTCATATCGGAGAACGGCAAACGTATCAAGCAACTGATGATCGACTCGGTAAACGCAAGACACGCCGGCGAATACACGTGTATAGCGTCTAATGTGGCTGGATCGACCTCGAGAACAGCTATGCTCGCTGTGAACGGTATTGCTGGAAAAAAAAGATGCTCGTTTTGTGTAGGCTATTTAGAAATTATGTAGCTCGCGTTTTTTATGTGTGCGCGGGTGTGAGAAACAATCCTGAATTCCCAATAAATCCCAATCAATTCAATGATTATCGATACAAACCAACTCTGACTCGGACATGACTGTAACGATTTCTTTATTGTACACGTACCCACACGCGCGCAGTACCACCCCAGATAGGCTCGTTTAGTTTCGGCACGGGCGCCGAATCCCTGAACGCCGGCGACATAGCCTCGGTGACCTGCGCCGTGACCAAGGGCGATCTACCCATGGACATCCAGTGGATGTTCCAGAATCAGCCGATCGACGTCACCCGCGAGGACGTGGTCGTGACGAATCTCGGCAAGCGCGGCAAGCAGCTGAGCATCGAGTCGGTGGGCGCCGAGCACGCCGGCGAGTACACCTGCGTCGCGTCCAACGTCGCCGGAGCCACCACGAGAACGGCCGTGCTCGAAGTCAACGGTATACATCGATTCGATCGTCTAACAAGTTGGATGCGGATGAATTTTTTGTCCTTGGTCTTGGTTTTATTCATCGCGTTGAACGAAGTAATCCAAAAGATACCTTGCTGACTCCCAAAACAATGTTTTCATGACACAGTTTCGACGTTGTATGAATATTTGAATTAAGTAAACTGGATTGCTTTTACCATCATCCTCGTTGCAGTTACCTATATTTATACCGCTAATAACCTGGACGTCCATCGACGTAAACACTTCTCAACTCATTACCATTATTATTATTACGTCGTACATCAGCAATACGTGCCTAAATTATCTCGTCCGTTAAAGTTTCGCCTCAAATCGGAGCCTTTACCTTCGGCACGGAGCCCGTGAACGCGGGCGACGTCGCCTCGGTGACCTGCGTCGTGACCAAGGGCGACTTTCCCATGGACATACAGTGGATGTTTCAAAATCAGCCGATCGGCACTGAACGCGAGGACATAATGGTGTCGAATTTCGGCAAACGGGGGAAACAGTTGACCATCGAGAGCGTCGGCGCGAGACACGCCGGGGAGTACACTTGCGTGGCGTCCAATGTGGCGGGATCGACCACGAGAACGGCGGTGTTAGATGTCAATGGTACACACGTATCAGGAAGCGCATTAGCTGTTATTTGCACGTACGATAGAGCACCCAATTTCCGATCTCCGATTATCTCTCCTCGATAGGATGACATACGAAAAAATCGACTATCATTATCAACCTGTTTACAACACATTTTCTTTCTCTCAATTTTATCGACATCATTTTTATATATCCCGATCAGTCGCTCCGCAAATCGGTGCCTTTACCTTCGGCACCGAGCCCATCAATGCCGGTGACGTAGCTTCCGTGACCTGCGTGGTCATCAAGGGCGACTTTCCCATGGAGATCCAGTGGATGTTCAAAAGCCAGCCGATCGACGTCAAACGCGAGGACATAGTCATATCGAACGTAGGCAAACGCGGCAAGCAATTGAGCATAGAGTCGGTGGGAGCGTCACATGCTGGAGAGTATACTTGCGTAGCGTCCAATGTGGCAGGATCGACCAGCAGATCGGCTGTGTTAGACGTCAATGGTACACACGATACTAGTTGTGAGGCGTAAATGTTAGTTTCTCAATCCTTTCTGATCCACATCCTCGATTACTCACAAGATTAGGCAGAAAAGTTAGGATCCAAGACGCGCATAGATTAATAATTTCCAGAAGTTTCTTTTTATTATTACGTAAACTATCAACTCGACGAAATATTATTTCACATAGTCGCACCACAAATCAGCGCTATATCCTTCGGCGACGAGCCGGTCAACGCCGGTGACATAGTGTCAGTTCTCTGCACCGTGACCAAGGGAGACTTTCCTCTCGAGATCCAGTGGATGTTCAAAGGTCAACCTCTGCTGCCGACCGCGGGCGACGTCGTCATAAGCGACTCTGGAAAACGCGGCAAACAGCTGACCATCGAGGCGGTCAGAGCCGAGCACATGGGAGAGTACACCTGTGTGGCATCGAACGTTGCTGGTTCGACCACCAGATCGGCCGTGCTCGACGTCAATGGTTCGAAATTGCGACTGCGATAATTGTTTAGCGTTTAAAACTGGCCGACATCCTCGAGAATATCCCTTGGACTCTTTCCCCTCGAAATCGAAACTCATGACGAACCGGTCGACCGACGAATCTTCCTATCTTGACTTCTTTTACGTTACTCACGCGAGGCAACTTGCCCCTTCCTCCAAATTTTCCAGTTTTACCGAGACTGCTACCCTTCTCGCTGGGCGACGGCCCTCTCAACTCCGGCCAGGTGGTCACCGTGCCCTGTGCCGTCGTCGAGGGTGACGTGCCCCTCAAATTGTCCTGGACCCTCAATGGCCAGCCGATCTCGCCGCATTCGGGCATCTCGGTGCTAGATCTGGGCGAGCGCGGCGCTATCTTGAGCATCGGCTCGGTACAGGCTAGCCACGCCGGAAACTACACCTGCACCGCCGAGAATCCGGCTGGAAAGCACGAGCTCTCGGCCGAGCTCATCGTCAATGGTTCTTCTTTTTTTCTGTTTAATTTTCTGATTATATTTTGATTTAGCTACACTTTGCTTGTTGTTTACTTGTATTTTTCTGTGCTATCCCCAGTTGGTGAAAGGTTTTGATCCTTTTAATTTTGTCCGATTTTTTTTCCTTCTTATTGTACAAAGTATATTCCTGATCGGTATCCAGATAGAAGATCGTTAAGTAAATCAATCGTCTCGATAACGTAAAATCGATTCTGCTCTATGGTTTTCTCATCCAAACGAATCAATCTTGATCTTTCTGCTTTCGAATGATATTCCTGCAGCTCCAGGAATTTTCTCATTGCGACAGCACCAATACCAATGACTTGGTATAAGCGTCCACGAGTCAGGTTTCGTTAGATACAGCGTCCGTTTTAGGGTCAACGGTATAAAAATAACTAAAAGAAAGTCGATAGATCGATCGAATTTATATGTAAAGAACACGCGCTAGTGTGTACATCTTGGGGATTTAGCAGATATGCTTTTGAAAGAAAATTAAATTTTTATAATTTTAACTTAAACGAAAGATAGTTTTTTTTATTATTTTGTACAAATACCTCCTAAGAATTCACGTGCAGAAAGGGGAACCCCGTTTAAAACTATTCATCGGCTCTCTGTCCCCATTTTTGCCTCCATACTTCTCGCTCTCTCTCTCTCTCTCTCTCTCTCTCTCTCTCTCTGGAGCAGTCAAAATGAAATCAGAAGAAAAAGATGAAACCGAAATATTTTGCGCATCACACAGTGCACCCACGCATCGTGCCGTTCGATTTCGGCAACGAGCAGATATATGCCGGCCAGACGGCCCAGTTGGCCTGTATGGTGCAGGTGGGCGACACGCCCATCGACATCTACTGGACTTACGAGGGTCGCAGGCTCAGGCCCGAGTCCGAGGCGGGTCTGCGCGTGGGCCAAGTGGGGCCGCGCACCAGCGTCCTGTCCATCGACCCGGTGGAGTCCAGCCACGGCGGCGGATACGCCTGCGTCGCGAGCAATGCCTCGGGCAACGACACGCACCGAGCCACCCTGCGAGTGCACGGTTAGACGCGGGAGACTCTGTGCGATGATAACGATGTGCTGCTGCGCGCGGGCCTGGCTGTGCTCGTTGTCGTTCTCTTACTCTTTCTCTCTAAGAAAATTAATCTATACTCAACTTTCTATCTCTCTCTATCTGCAATTGGTGCCCTTTTTAAAGCCCTCGTATTATGTACCCCATTGTCATTATGTTGGAGACAATGATTGTATGCTTGAAAATCGGCAAGTACGCTAAAATAAACTTTGCTTCTAATTTAACTTATTTATTATAATTATCTTCACTTCTCTCTCTATCTTTTTTCTGCTCTGTAGCTCTCGATACAAATATTACCTCGAAACCGATGCAGGAAGCTTTCGCTGATGTGTAATATTTTTCTCTCAACTGTATATGAAACAACTAAAACCCCAACCAAATTATTATTATTATTATTATTACCATTCCCAGTAGTAGGTCTGATAAAATTTCCAGCAATGTCAGCCAAAGCATCGCCGTCGCAATGCCGCTTAAATATTGCTTGATTGTATAATTTATTGATCTCACCCCCGCCGCCCCCACCTCGCCAACCCCTCTGTGCTGAACGTTTGTGCAAGCTCGTACGTACACGATCGACGCAGCTTATACATACACATTTCTCTCTCTCTATCTCTATCGCTGCAATCGCCAAAATTTGTGCGCAGTAAGCAATACATTGGAACGCTTTACAATTTTTGAATATAAAAAATAAAAACCTGTTTATGTCACTATGGTTCGTTAGTTTTAGTTCATCAGACCTCGTTCTCCAGTATGTGCGTTAGGACTCGTTCTCTCACTCTCTTTCTCGTATTCGCTTTGCGCAAAACGAGATCGGTATGATTAAGCCAACGACGTTTAATCTAACCGACAGGACGAAAACAAAAAAGAAAAAGAAACGAAAATTTACAAAATTATCTCAATTGGATTATTATTCATGCAGAGTCGATTCGTCATTGAAACAATATCCTTCTCTCTCGTTCCAAAAAATCAATCCGAAAAATGTCCACGTACCCGAACTCCCGTCTCTCTCTCTCTCATCCAGTCGTGTAGTGTGTTTTATTATTTTTTTTTATTTTTTCATCTCACAGTAGTTTGGATTTATAGTTTTTGTTTTTGGTTTATTTTTTTTCACTCATATAACATCCTGCATGCTTTATGGTGTAGTGGCTTATTTCATCAATATCATTATGAATCAAGTACACGATTGCGTTCTGTGCACGCGAGCGCACATCGAGTACTGTCGTCGAATTGCATGACAATGACTAATCGAGCCATGCGAGTCAACTTCATCATCATTTCATCGATAAAAATGGATACGTTTTTCTCGAGAAACTAGCTATTTTAAGAATTTACATTCCAGAATGCTCAACATTGTTAAATGCTCTAATGAACAAAAAGTGACCATTTAAAATATTTTAAAATACGTATTTATTAGTTAATTGGTTAGTTTTTGACTATTTTCATGTTACAAAAAGGTTACAAGATATCAAACACATTTAAATGGCCTGAAAATTACAATTAACCACTCTATTCAACCACTTTGAAAACAATCCAATCACTTTTTACTTTCACCACCAGATGGCGAGTACCTTCAACTGTAAATCAGCAAATGGTGAAGTAAAAATAACAGTATAATTCAAAGCAAGGGTATATATGATAAATCATTACTTGAATTCTTTACACCCTTTTGAACCTCAAAGCAGGTTTACAATTATTACGGTGGCTAGTTATAATGGTCTTTTCATGTCAAAAAAAAAACTTTTCCGTTAGCTAAAAACTAATGTTGAGCATTATTACGAGGGATAAAAAGTAATTTTTCATCGAGAGAAAAGGTATCCATTGGCTTATAACTAACAACAAACGAGTGAAATTCTGTTCAGCATGTAACAGAACGCTGTAAATAATGAATATTCGTTGATTGTACAAAATTAATAAAAAAAAAATAATAATAATAAGCTTGCTCGCTCTTTTGCTGTCGATTAATAAAATCAACCAATATTCTGCTACATATATCGTCGAGCAACGATGCGCACATCATACGCGTAACATCCTCACATTTGTCAACGACAAAAAAAAAGCAATTCAATCGAACGAACAGTGCACGTATGTGTATGCACATCTTTGCTCGACTCTCGTTTGTATCAAGCGCAGCTTGTGGCTTTTCTGTGTGTGTTTTCGTGTAATTAAAAATCAATCACGTACGCTTAAGCTACGCGATCAGCCTTTGACTAATACAACCTTTTTTTTTGTATTCCCTGCCGTGCCGCAACAGTACCACCACGTTGGATACTCGAGCCAACTGACAAAGCCTTCGCTCAAGGCTCTGACGCGCGAGTCGAGTGCAAAGCCGACGGCTTTCCCAAGCCCCAAGTCACGTGGAAAAAGGCTGCCGGTAAGATTATATTATCCAACAATTAATTCACCACGGAAGTGCTTATGATGATTAAATGTTTCTTTTTTTTTACACCGATACGCAGGTGATACCCCCGGTGACTATACCGATCTGAAAATGAACAACGCCGATATCAGCGTCGAAGACGGCACACTGATGATCAACAATATTCAAAAGACGAACGAGGGCTACTACCTCTGCGAAGCCGTCAACGGCATCGGCTCCGGACTGTCGGCTGTCATCTTGATTTCTGTCCAAGGTATGCCTCGAATCTCAAAATGATCAGATCGTTACCGATCTTCTTAACCGATCGTCTTTCTCGACAGCTCCGCCTCACTTCGAGATCAAGCTGCGCAATCAGACGGCTCGTCGTGGCGAGCCGGCCGTGCTGCAGTGCGAGGCCCAGGGCGAGAAACCCATCGGTATACTCTGGAACATGAACAACAAGCGACTGGACCCGAAGAGCGACTCGCGCTACACGATTCGCGAGGAGATCATGGCCAACGGCGTGCTGTCCGATCTCAGCATCAAGCGCACCGAGCGCAGCGACTCGGCTCTCTTCACCTGCGTCGCCACCAACGCCTTCGGCTCCGACGACACCAGCATCAATATGATCGTTCAAGGTAAGGAACGTCTCGCGCGAATATCATCCGTTTGAATGATCCAACTGGATATGGAGCTCGATTTGTTGCTTGGACGTGCACTAAGATTAATCTCGATTGATCTATAGGCGTTAAACCACCAGTTTAATTGAAAATTTCCTTGAAAATCGGGGAATTAATTTATTAAATTATGCAGCTGAATTACGCAACAATGTTTGCAAATTACACAATTAAAAACCCCTCGAATTAAATGCAGATATAATGTTAAATCAGAAATTTAAATTCAAGTAATCGATAATAAATTTTATTCAAGGTTTTTTTACATTAAAATATATGTATCGGTGCTGACTTATTCTTTTTGCATAAACTGCAAAAAAATTGGATGAAATCGAAATCGCATACATTCAGTAAGATTTCTCAAAAAAATTATAATTAAAGCCAACCTCCGCCACTAGATGGCGAGTACCTTAATTTTTAAACCTGCAAGTGGTAAAGTCAAAATGATTGTATAAGTCAAAGCAAGGCTATGTAATTATTTGAATACTTAACTAATAGACGGATCATCGAATTCAAAATACTCGATATTTAAATTTCCAAATATAGCAACATTCTCTCGGAAAAACATCAAGTTTGATTCTAGTCAAATCCATCAAAAGTATGACACAGATAACAGCTTCTGTTTAAACACGTTTGCGAGCATTCCATTGCACAATAATTAATGAAATATTTTTCTTTCTCGTTGGCGCGCAGAGGTGCCCGAAGTGCCGTACGGCCTCAAGGTCCTCGACAAGTCCGGCCGATCCGTGCAGCTGTCCTGGGCCGCGCCCTACGACGGCAACAGCCCCATCAAGCGCTACGTGATCGAGTACAAGATCAGCAAGGGCAGCTGGGAGGCGGACATCGATCGGGTGGTGGTGCCGAGCTCGCAGCAGAACGTCGCCGGGGTGTTCAATCTCAAGCCCGCCACGACCTATCATCTGAGAATCGTCGCGGAGAACGAGATCGGTACTTCCGAGCCGTCGGACACGGTTACCATTATAACCGCCGAAGAGGCACCCTCGGGTCCACCGAGCTCGGTGCGAGTCGACGCTCTGGATCAGCACACGCTCAAGGTATATATAGTTGACGTAACGAAAATTCTCTCTTGCGTTTGAAAAAAACTGTAACGATTTTCTCTGTCGTCGCGTCAGGTCTCGTGGAAGCCACCACCGCGCGACGACTGGAACGGCGAGATTCTCGGCTACTACGTCGGCAACCGTCTGGCCTCCTCCGACAAGCCCTACATGTTCGAGACGGTCGAGTTCTCGAAGGAGGACGGCAAGGAGCATCATCTGCAGATCATGAATCTCAAGACCTACACGCAGTACAGCGTCGTCGTGCAGGCCTTCAACAAGGTCGGCTCGGGCCCGATGAGCGAGGAGAGGCGTCAGCACACCGCGGAGGGCGTACCGGAGCAGCCGCCCCACGACACCACCTGCACGACCCTGACCTCGCAGACGATTCGCGTCTCGTGGTCGTCGCCGCCGCTGGCCGCGGCCAACGGCGTCATCACCGGCTACAAGGTGAGGCGCGCATCGATCTTATATAATTTTTTACTTCGATTCTTACAGGAAGACATTTTCGCTTCGATCGTTACACGTGTTTACAAATTACATAGTCATCGGTCTCGCGCGAGCGTGTGTGTGTGAACATTGTTACACGAACTATATAGGTAATGTTTACAAAATAAGGCGCGCGTGAACGCGGATACTTCGAAATCGATCCAGTGTGATCTGAATTCTTGCACCGATCGGTCGGCCCGAAAAGCAAAAAAAAAAAAAATGATCACGTACACGAACGCACGAGCCTTGGAAGACCTGCCGTTATTTTTCCCGGACCATGTACTATCGGCCGTGGTGAAGAACGCACTGGAGAAGAACGACACAAGCTACCGCCAGAACCCAGTGGACATTCACCCGATCGCGCAGTCGCACGCCGAGGACAGCTCCAGTCCCGTGTTCAACTGTCGTCGACTCATCATTACTTATAGGCGCGGCGACGACCGGAAGCGCATCGAACTCGACACGTTCTACGTGACTCGACCCACGAAGTACAAGCAGCTGATGCAGATCTACGATGCCGATCGGTGGTTCTACTTCGAACTCATGCCGGAACTGGAGCGCCACATCAGCTGGCCGGGCATCTGTCCCAAGCTTCTGATGATCAGCCACAGGAATTCCGTCATGGTATTCGAGAATCCAGCCGTGCGCCAGTTCGAGGAGGTGCACGAAGCGACCTGGTCGGGGCTCCAGCTGCATGCCGTGGCGAGGGCGATGGCGCGCCTTCAGGCCGCGGGTATGCGCGCTCAGCGAGCGAACGGCGGCCGGCCCCTGTACGACAAGTTCCCGCGTCTGCTCGCCGAGAAGAAGCCCGTCCACGAGGCCGAGGAGGTCATGCAGCGCTACATCAAATTCATCGAGACGATAGCACGGGACAAGCTGCGCCTGAGCACCAAATGGATCAAGCGGGTGATAATCGACGGTTGGCTGCAGGTGCGCGACTGGGACGACAGCGAGCGGCCGCTGAAGATGAGCCTGGCGCACACGCGCACCTGGTGCAGCGAGATACTCTTGAACGATTGGTACCAACCCAACGCCTTGTTCAAGAGCTTCGACCGGGTGCGTTACGGACCCCTCACCCTCGACCTCGTCCAGTTCGTCTACGTCAAGTGCTGGAAGTGGGTTCGATCGGATCCCAAAAGCTTCCGCAAGCTTATCAAGGCCTATCGCGAACAGCTCAGGCAGAGCCTCGTGGGAGAATTCGAGAACGAGGAGGTACCCAGCTGCCAGGCCATCGCCGACGAATTCGAGGAGCTGGAGCAAGCCGGACTGCACTACGCCGCGCTCTACGTGCCCGGCCAGGCCATCGATAACGAGGCGGCGGTGGTGTCGGCGGCGAAAGACTCTACGACGAACCAACGCCAGCTCTTGGAAAGGTTGAAGAGGCTGCAAGCGGCCTGTCACAACGACCAGCTGAAGTACTACAGGCGGAGCAGCAGCTACCGCGAGAGAATAAACGAGGTCGTCAGGGAGATCGTGCGATTCGGCGAGAACAAGTACGAGAAGCCGGAAAAAGCAAGAAAGGAGTATTTTGAACAAGTATTATATGCCGGGGATAAAGTGTATTTTCAATCTTCGAAGCGTTGATACTTTGTCAATTGTGATTGTATCGACCGGTGCTCGCGAAGTTAATCTCTTTTTAAAACTATTAGCAAGTTTTCAGATGTAAAAATTACTCCTCTCTTTAAGATCGAGTAATTTTACGTTTTTCGAAAACGTTGCTTTTCGAAAGAAAAAGTTTTTTGTTACAAGAACTTGTATGTATTTAAAAAAGAGATAGTCCTCATGAGCACAGTCGGTGTATAAGTGTGTATTTATTGGATCGTTCAATCTTGTGAAAGATTATCATTTTATAAAACTTGACGAACATTATTATTATATTCGACTCATAATGTAAATAAACACATGAAACAATAGTTAATGTATTGTTCGCTCAACATGAAAATTGTGTGTGAAAATTTTTATCTCGTTTGTTACCTCGTTTTACCAAAATTAATTGATCGTTACATGCAAGAATGGATGAAAGTAATGCTAATATATTCATGAATTAAAAAATAGTACATTACCTATATTTGAAAAAAAAAGATGTTTAATGTTACTGTATGATAGTTTGAATGCAAATCATTAAAAACTATTCTCAGTACAATTGACTGATAATCTCTCAGGAATTATTCTTAATTTTTAATACTTTTACAGCGCTAAAATTCTATAATCTTCGTAAAACAGTGTGCTATGAATATGATAATACTGAATCTTAACTTTAAATTACTTTTTGGAATGAATATTATGATAACAGCGTTATAAAACTACTAGAGGATTATATTATAACTGAAAACTCCGAAAATTTGAATTCATTTGATGCGACTGGTGTGATCCGATGACTATTTTTGTAAACACTTAGACAAAGGATTATTTCGATAATTTACACTAAATATTTACTCCGAATCTTAAAAATGTTACCGTGTACTTTCTATTTGCACAGAAAGAACGAAATCGATAATAATTTTTAATTCTTATCAATTCAGATCATTTACGGGCCATCCGAATCATGGCAAGACGAGAACACCAAAGATACCAAAATCACATCATCCAGTGAAACCATTCTCCACGGACTGAAGAAATTCACGAACTACAGCATGCAGATCTTGGCCTTCACCTCGGGAGGCGACGGCGTCAAATCGGCTCCCATTCATTGTCAAACCGAGCAAGATGGTCAGTGCGATAAAACATTGATTATATTCTATGGATTTTGCTCGAGCACGTTCGATCCGGATAGGGAAAAATAATCTAAAATATTTCCAAAATCTCCCCAGCTCCCGAAGCGCCAACGGCGATCAAAGCTCTGGTCATGTCGGCCTCGGCGATTCTGGTCTCGTGGAGGCCGCCGAGCCAGCCCAACGGCGTCATCTCGCAGTACACGGTCTACTGGAAGGGCAACGCCAGCGAGCAACCGTCCAGCCAGAAGGTCTCGCCCACGCAGCTGACTCACGAGGTGTCGAGTCTCGAAGAGACGCGCAAATACGACTTCTGGGTCACCGCCAGTACTAACATCGGCGAGGGGCAGCCCTCGAAAGTCGTCAATCTCGCCCCGAGCGCGAGCAGTGCGTATATTATGATGCTTTAAAAATATCCCGCGTGGAAATGCTCAACATTGACAACAGCCGAATGAACGGAAAATTATTATTTTGAAATGTTTTTAAATTGTCGCAAAGTCCACTTCAAATTTCTACCACTAGATGGCAAATACTTTTACGTGTAAATCTCCAAGTGTTAAAGTAAAAATAATTGTATAAATCAAAGTAAGGTTCTGAAAAAACTCAAGCCCTGTACCTTGAAGTGTCAAAAATTTGATGAAGTCAAAAATTGGCCATAAAATGTTGAACATTTCTACCAGAGAAATAGTTGCGGATCAATCCTAATACACAGAGAGAACTGATCTCTTATGCGTTTTTTCGTCAATCAGTACCCGCCAAGATCGCGTCGTTCGACGACAAATTCGTCGCGACGTACAAGGAGGACGTGAAGCTGCCCTGTCTCGCGGTGGGCGTGCCGGCGCCCGAGGTCACCTGGAAGGTGCGCGGCGTCAAGCTCGCGCCGACCGATAGACTGCGCCAGCTGCCCGAGGGCTCGCTCTTCATCAAGGAAGTGGATCGCACCGACGCCGGCGAGTACTCGTGCTACGTCGAGAACACCTTCGGCCACGACACCGTCACTCATCAGCTCGTCGTGCACGGTGAGAGTTGCTATATACTAGTTTCGATATGCGTAGTTCGCTCGTCCGGAAAATATATAATTTCGAACTTTTACGCAGCTCCTCCGCACTCGCCGCAAGTGACGCTGACGGCCACGACGACCAATTCCCTGACCATGAAGCTGCGCCCGCATCAGAACGACAACGCGCCGATTCACGGCTACACCATACACTACAAGCCCGAGTTCGGCGACTGGGAGACCGTCCAGATCAGCTCCACGTCCTCGAAGTACACCCTGGAGAATCTCTGGTGCGGCTCCAGATACCAGATCTACGTTACCGCTTACAACACGTGAGTACTTTTTACAAAATCTACGTGTAAATTTCATTCAGATTTTAAGGAAATATATGATAACGATACACGATTGTGCGCGCAGGATCGGTATGGGCGAGCCATCGGACATTCTGAACACTCGCACCAAGGGCTCGAAGCCGATAATACCGGAGGCCTCGAGATTCATCGAGGTCTCGACCAAGAGCATCACTCTGCATCTGCACGCTTGGTCGGACGGAGGATGTCCCATTATCTACTTCGTCGTTGAGCACAAGAAAAAGTAAGTTTAATTATTTATTATGAAGTGTACGAGCTGTTTATAAAAAATTTTCAATTTTAATGCGGATCTTGAAAGTATAATTAGAGATTTCAAAATTAAAGATTTGTTTTTTCATATAAATATGATTGCGTGCAACATTTTCAATACCAAATTTTAAAAAATTATTCGATTCAATTCTCAAATTTAAACCTTTTGATTGAAAAAGAATACTGAACTATTTGTTGTCTTCGTTGCTCAAACAATTTATAAAGATTCAATCATAATTAAAACCAGTCTTTCCCGCTAGACGGCGAATATACCCATTATGTATAAACCTGCAAGTGTCGAAGTAACAATAAGTGAATAAGTAGTTAAAATAAATACCATTGTTGTTTATGATACATTAATTCTATGTTGAATTGAATTTAACAAATTTAATTTAAATAAAGTTTCGCATTTCAAATGTGGAAAATTAAAAATAAATTACGAAAATTAATGAAAAGAATTTAGTATCAAATTTAACTCAAATCACATTTGTTTTATACTTTTAAGACACTGTCAACGAACACAAAAGTATTTTAAATGAATAAAGTAAACGATACTAAATTTTATTGAAGGTACCTTTACATGAAATCTACGATGAAAATGAATGTTTGAATACTGATTTATATTTATTACTTTAATTAGCTGCACGAAAAGTTCATAAAAGTGCAACCACATTCATAATTTTTGAAATCAAAATGATTAAAATAAGTTAAATCCTTTACTCGAATTTGAACATGTCGATAAACAAGTAATGTTTTACTGATTTATTTTATTCGTTGATTGCTCTGGATATTCACAAGTAATAAATAAAGTCAGTCTCCACCGCTAGATGGCGAGTATACTTATCTGTTAATCCGCAAGTGGCAGAGACAAAATAATTGTATAAGTCAAAGCGTGATGTCGAAAAAATTATCAGTATTTTTTCTATTTGATGCGAAAACGACGCTGGAATTTAAGGTGTACTAATTATAACGCTTTTCAATTTGCCTCTTGCTCGTATCTCTCCAGGCACTCGCAGGAATGGAACCAGGTATCGAACAACGTCAAGCCGGGCGGCAACTTCGTCGTCATGGATCTGGACGCCGCCACCTGGTATCATCTGCGCGTCACCGCCAACAACAATCCCGGCTCGGCCGTGGCCGAGTACGAATTCGCCACTCTCACTGTCACCGGAAGTGAGTATCATCTCGTTGTATAAAAAAAAAACATGCACCTATGAGCGATTTCATCCATTTTTATAATAATGTGTACATGAAACATAAACGCGCGCGCGGCTCGTTTTTCGCGTAGCCGGCGTCAATGGTGGCACATGTCATACTTTCTCTAACCAATTAATTTAATCCAATCAATCAATCAATCTTCATCTCTAACATCTAATAATCAAAAAAAATCAATCACGCGCTTTTTGCAAAAAAAACAAAAAAAACAAAAAAAACAAAAAAAAGTAAAAGAAAAAAAAACCAAAACCAATCTTGATATTTTATAGGCACCATTGCGCCGGCTCGCGAACTTCCGGACTTAAACGCCAGCGACAGCAGCGACGACCCCATGAAAATATTCATGGCCAACTTGAATCTCGTGGTGCCTGTTGTTGCGGCCGTCCTCGTGATTATCGTCGCGGTCATCGTGATCTGCGTCCTCAAGGGCAAGGCTCACGACGACGAGAAAGGTGCGTAAATCATTTTTTTATCGACTACATTTTTTTCCGGCAACAAGGTACCATCGCGCCGCCGATATTGAGCGGCAGCTCGGCCGACAACGATCGCGACATGGAGGACGGCGACGTGCGTCGCTTCTTCCCGTGGCTGCCCATGTGGCTGGACATCAACGTCGTGGTGCCGGTGGGCGCCACTGTCGTCGTCATCATCGTGGGCATCGTCGTCATCTGCGTGGCCCTGTCCAGACGCACCCGCGGACCCGAGCAGACTCGTCTGCGCGGCATCTCGGCCTCCGATGAGAAATACTACGAAGGCCAATGTACTGAACATCAGTCTCTCTTTCTCAACGATTTCATATTATACCCATACAAATTTACTTTTTTTATTTAAAGTTGAATAATATTGATTCCCTGATTGCGCGTGTAATGACGATTTTTTTCTGTATAGATGATGTTGTATATCAGCAAACTGGTCCGATCGGAGCGACCCTCGACAAGAGAAGACCCGATTTACGCGACGAATTGGGCTACATCGCTCCGCCAAATCGTAAATTGCCACCCGTACCCGGCTCCAATTACAATACCTGTGATCGTATCAAACGAGGAACGGTTATAAGTAAGTTTTTCGTGAAAGTAATCATTCATTTTCAACTTATAAGATCTTATTAAAAACAAAAAAAAAAACAAAAAATCATCCGTACGTAGCACACTGTCTTTGGCATGAATTTTTATACTTTTTTTCCAAAATTTTTGGTTCGTATTTTTTCGGAATATTACGTTATGATTTCATTACTGTACATTTATCCTGACTGTGTATTATGAGAAATTTCATGGTGAGTTTTCGAAAAAATGATGTTTTCGATGTGATTGAATTAATATAAGGCAATTAGTTCCCCGAGCAAAAATGCTCAAAGACCAAAAAATTACCTTTTAAAATACATTATCATTAATTGGTTTGTTTGTGGCGATTTTTCTGTTACAATCATATGATATATTAAACGCATTTTTAATGACAAATTGAACAAATTTAGATCGATTTTCAACCACTTTACAAGCAATAATGCATCTTAAGCCTCTGCCACCAGGTGGCGAGTACCTTCATCTCTGAATCTGCAAATAATAAAGTTGAAATAATTGTATAATATAAGTTATACAATTATAATATTACTTTAAAATAATACAATTAAAAGTTTACAATGTTTTTAAATAAGCAAGTAAGGTTATTTACTAATTTTTTCCTTTCGGTGAATTAATGATAAGCTAGAGCTGATTGGTTAAAAAGACTCATCAAACATCATTTCGTCGAGAATTATTCGTACCTATCGTCTTGTCATAATCTTTATAATACTTAAATGTTTTCGTTATATATTTTTCATTATACCCACACTGTGCCTTTAGCATATAGTTTACGACACTACTGTTTCTGTAAAATATTTCATTCAAAAATATTCAATGATCCACTTTTGAGACTAGACGCAAGACTTCTGACAACTCTGATCGAGTAAGTAATCAATATGAAAAATTTTGAACTCTCAAAATTATCATCACGTTATTTTAAAAATCCAAGTACACACACGTTGCTTCGTAGAGCATAGACAGTCTAAAAACGCCCCTGTAAGAAAAGTATACGATTACATGAATACGAACGAGTCTTGAGAGGACGGAGTTACGTATAATACAGCGGAAAATTAAAAGAACACGTGATCCGCGCGTGAAAAAAAAACACGGAGAGAAAAGATCGCTGTAGCTCTGATTCAACAGGTCGAAACGGTTCGGCGAGAAGTTACCATCAGACTTGGGACCCGAGGAGGCACATGTACGAGGAACTGAGCCATTACGCGCCGAACAGGAGGTGTCCGCCGCCGCCGCCCGGAGCCTTCGATCAACTCAATCCGAGAAGTATGTAATTATAAGATAGAGCTTAGACAGGCGCGCCAACGAGTCAAAAGATAAATTCATTGACGATAGTCGAATTGATTTTTTTTCCTCTTACTCTTTTGACTTGTAAATCTCTCCGTCAAAACTAACCAATAGGGTTAAGCTAGATTTGATTAACCATATACATATTTAGAATAAGCGTGACAAAGTGTGGAAATTCTATACCTGCAGAGGGACTCGGCCTCGATAATAAACGCTTCGAGTAATATCGTAAGTTTTCATGCCCCGAATCCCGTCATCTCACCCGTAGATAACATAACATTTTTATTATATTTTTATTCTCTCTCTCTCGATGTTCTGCACGATACCATATAGCCACGCATGCACCTTATCACGATTATTATTTCTCGTTCTCGCATACTCAATCAACACACAAAAAATGTGGAAACCCTCGATCAATTATTCCTATATATCTCAACCGATTCTCGAAAATTTGCAGGCATGGAGGACGAGATTTGTCCCTACGCGACGTTCCATTTACTGGGCTTCCGCGAGGAGATGGACCCGAGCAAAGCCATGCAGTTCCAGACGTTCCCGCATCCGGTTAACGGCCACACGGCCACCATGGGCCCGGCCGTGGGTCATCCGAACAACTCGTCGGCGCACAGTAGATCCGGATCGCAGTCGATGGTGAGTTTAATTTTTTTTTTTTTTAAATAATAACTCAAATTTCATTTATTGAATTTTTGTTGCATACTCGAGTATACAATTTATTTTACTATCGTTTCGACCTGTAACTAAAAACTGTGAAAGAGTTTCACTTCATGATTGACAAAATTATTTATAGTTAACAATATTATCATATTTCAGCTCTGTTCGACTTGTTCAGATAACTAATGACCAAAAAATGCCTATTTCAAATGTAAAATACATCATCATTGACGATTTTTTGACGATTATTCTGCTACTGTTATGTTAGCACTATTATGAGTAAATTTAGAATAATCTGACAATTTAATTATTTCAAAAGATTTTCAAACACTTTTCGACTACTTTGGCTACCGTCGCCCCAGCGCAGGAAGGTATTTCTTTAAACTCGAGAGGCAAAAAGGTATCTTAGTCCTATCCTTTTAACATGTCGTTAATAAAAGCTTAAGCTTTTTTTTGCCTCCGAATTTATTAAGATACATTTCTGGCGACTATACGAGGATAATATTTTAAGCATTGACCACAAGATGGCGAGTAGCTTTATCTGTAAAACTGCAAGTGGAAAAATAAAAATAATTGTATAAAACAAAGCACGGTTTTGAAAAAAATGGAATATTAGGAGTTTTATTTAACAAAACTCGGTTTTTGAATATTTTATCATCTTTGTCTCATGAGTATAAGATCTTAAACAAGTTTTTATCGAGAACTTGCACAAGAATTCATGTCCTTTTTTTCATCTTTGACACAACGACGATCCTAAAACGTGTGCGTATATGTATGTGCCCACAGCCGAGACAAGCGAACGGCGGCCGCTACTCGCGAGTACCGTCCCAGGGCGGCAGCACGGGCGGCAACCAGAACATCTTCACGCCCGAGTACGACGACCCGGCAAACTGCAATCCCGAGGAGGACTACGGCTCGCAGTACGGCCAGTACGGCGCGCCCTACGACCACTACGGCTCTCGGGGATCCGTGGGCCGTCGCTCCGTCGGCTCGCTGCGCAATCTTCCCGTGTCCAACTCGCCCGAGCCGCCGCCACCACCGCCGCGCAATCACGACCAGAGCAACTCGAGCTTCAACGACAGCAAGGAGAGCACCGACGTCAACGATCAGGACGACAGGGATCAGCTGATTCGCAACTACGGTGGTGAGTCTTTGAGCGAAGGGAGAAGATCGTAACCAAAGACGGAGTTCAGAGAAGAGATTCCCCCTTGAACGACCTATACTCCATCGACCTCATTTACCGAGATAAAACTTAACGATGATCGATTAATACTACTGATATTGTGGACTAATAACGTTACTAATACCTCCAGTTGTGGGTGAAATGGGCTTGGTATACCATCGAGATGAGGGATTGGGCTATGGCTAATGCCTCTACTAATGACTAATATATACCTATGACTTTTTACATAATGACCGAGAAAATTCAAGAATTACACCTGCTTATAGAATCAATAAGATAAATTTTATTTTATTTTTTTATCTGTATTTTAGAGACGTAAATTTATTCAACTTATTTTGCGTTTGCTACAATAGAAGTTCAATTTTTATTTTGCACATTTGCACAGAATTTGAGATTGTTATATAGCACAAAATGTCTTTTTAAGAGTAACGGAAAGTCGTAATTGTTTTTTCCTTTTTTTTAATTTCAAGAATTATACACACCCTCTTGCGTAACTAACATAATGGTTTTTTTAATTGCATGCACCGTTATTATCCGATTCATGGGTTCATAATTAATTGCCATTTTGCAGGTCGATTGCGCTTGTGCGTCGACACGCGAGAGAAAAAAAGCAATGCATGCCAAGTATAACGTTGCCGTAGTCGTTATTAGTTATTTTGTGTTACTAGGTTTGTGTTTTCTTGATTATTACAGGAAATTCTCACGGGAAGGATGCTAAATCAGTCGAAGAGATGCGTAAGCTCATTGAAAGGTTAGTAATATAAAACCTTGTGATAAAAAAAAGAAAAACAAATGTCGAGGCTCTAAAGTACAATGTGTGCACTTTACCAAGTAGTGATATTAGCATCTGAGAAATTCTCTTGACTCAAAATATTTTTGAGCTGTCATTTTTTCGATCTAACGATACAATCCTCTAAAATGACGATATATACAGCTAATAATTTTCATTACCTATACTAACATGAGTGTTCAATGTCTACTTTTTGCCTCGATGTAACTTCCGGATTTTTTTTTTCTCTCTCTCTAATCATTTTTTCAACTGAATCATAACCAAATTACCATACGATTCATCACCATTAACCCCATCAATCACGTAAGTCATTATATCAAAAACTCTCTCGAAACAGGTGTCACGCATTAGAATAATTTCGTGCCGAGATCTCATCATCGAGCATGCCATATTTGAATGTGCTCATATTAATATGCTTTTTATGTCATTCTTATATGTTTTTCATGCTTTTCTTAGTATTAGTAAGCAACATGATCATATTATTATGGAATTGATAGTCCAGAACAATATGCATGTTTTTTGTGTGTTTCGCTTTAATTTTTCACTCTAAGCAACTAGTTTCATCATCAAATAATGAAAAAAAAAACATCGCTCATAATCAAACGATAATATAAGATTATCAGATCATCGACATTACTATAGAAACTGACTGTACACTTCCCTATCCTTGTAACAAACGAAAAAGGAGATTCATGAAACATTTCACCATCGACTGTATATTCATTCGACTATATATAAATCTATATCATAAAAATATTATATCTTATGCAGCTAATGCAATTTACTAATATGTGAAAATTTTGCCATTTTTCCCCCTCTTTCTCTCTGTGTCATCGCCAAGCAGAAACGAAGGCTCAAAACAAAGCACCTTCAGCAGCAACCACTCAGGACTCATCTCACCCTACGATACTGTGGCAGTGTAATCTGTAAATTGCTCCAAGTCAGTCGCGCGATAAGTCGACAGCAGCGATCAACGATTTTTCTCAACAAATCGTCGCTTAATATAACAAAACAAAAAAAAACGAAAACCAAAAAAAAAATTACTCCATGATGCCACCTCTCATTACTACAACGAGAAGCAGTTACTTCATTCGCTTCTCGTTCTTCTTGGTGCATCTTCGGAAGATAAAAAAAGGAGAAACTTATCCACATTGTACTGCGATAATATAGATAATGATGATTTAACGTGATATAATATTGACAACAAAAAAACTCGCTGACCTCATATATCACGTTAAACGGTATGTGGGTGAGCGAGTGAATGCGCGGATGCATGGATTTTAATTTAAATAGCACAAAGTGAGTGTGAGTCGAGTATAAAAGACAGCTCTCGGGGTTTGCGCTTCTTTTACTCGATGATGGCTTGGATAATTTTTTTTTATTGCAAGCTTGCTTATATTGAAGCCGTGGAAATGTTGAGAAACGAAAGAAAAACAAAGAAAAAAAGTAATGTAACGTAAATGCGTGCGCGCTGGCGCTCAATCCATCGATACAGACAAAAAAAAATGAAAAGAAAAACAAGAGTCGACGAATTTATTCGTTATCGAGCTTTTTTTATTTTGGTGCGTCTGCTACGAAGCGCCGATTCTTCATGTGTAGCTGTTGTTGCAGCGACTTATCGGCTGGAAAAGTGATCAAACAATTATTTGACGCTTGCCAATCGATATACCGAAAGGAGCCAATACCTCGTGGGTATTGGATTCAGATCGACGGCAGCTGTACAGTTCCCAATGTGATTTTTTTTCTATGAAAAAAGCTCGTTAACGAGGTAATTTCCGCGTACGCGCGTCGCAGGATCAACGAGGAGCTAAACAAGTCTCGTCTTGTTGCGCATGCAGATCTGCGATGAATTTTTCGTTTGTTGATTTTACAATTTCGAGCCTCCTCGGATTGTGTCACGATCGCGCCGGTCCCGTACCGTGCGGCGTCGACTTTCGGCGTCGTCCTGCGCACTCGTGCTCCATTTGATTTTCGTTCGCTTGAAAAAAAAAATATTGTAATCATCGATTGTTTTTGTATAAAACTTATATTTTTTAATTGTGCTATTGATAAGTTTTTCTTCGTTGATTGTACGGCATTTATATTTAAAAGTATAAGTAAGTAATGTCGATACTTTACATAGCGATGTGATTTTTTACTCGTGTAAGATTGAGGTGTGATTTTTTGCCCCGCGTACCATAAAGTCCTTTTTAGCGATTTTAATTCGTTTTTTCCTTTTTAATCTGAATTATTTTCTCACTTCAACTTTGATCTGCCGTTGAACGTTCAATATTGCAACAAATATAGTATAACTTCGAAGCAAAATATAATGATAATATGAATAACCGTGAGAAAAGTGTGCGAACATTTTGTCCTATTTAATATATAAAAATATATATTTATTGATAAAATAAATTAAGGCAGCATCGTCATTGCCAGTTCGAAAAACGGTTACACAAAAATATTCCTGGGAGAAAAGATTCTCGTTTCGGCTGATAAAAAGGCGCAAAACGATCGTAACAGGGGACAAAGACAAATTCGATGCGCAATGAATGAAAGTGATAAAAGAAAGATAGAATGAAAAGAATGACAAAGGGAAATTCGATGAAGCTGATTTAATTATGACGATGCGATATAATTATTAAAAAACAGATTATAGAAATTATCTATTAAGCAGCTGATGGTAGAAAATAATACCTTATCGATTACATAAATCCATGATGTAGCTAATAAAAAAAAGGGGGAACTGACGGTTCGCGAGCCGGTCCCTTTATAGCATGTGATTGCAAAAGGATCCAATGGAGCAGCACCTATGCAGCGGGTCGCGAGCAGCACAATTTTCCTCGCGAGACGCGAAAAAGGGTCAAAACACGAGGGAGGGGAAGTGATTGAAATACGAAAAACACGCGAGTAACGAGAAAAAAAATCACATGCGTAAAGGCGCACCGGCTCATAGATTGTTTTTATGATTATAAAATATTTCTAAATCGTACTCGTATGCATAACACATATATTACATTAATTATTATGAAAAGTACGCGCGTATATGTGTGCCGTAATTTTCTTTAAGAAACAAAACGATTCGTAAATAATATCTTCGTACGTGCCATTGAGCGCCGACCACCCTCGTCATGTAGACGAAAAAATAATAATATTAATAATAAACATTAACTAAAAAGCATGAGCTCTAGACGTCGTTGGCCATTCTTCAACTCTAGGTGGAATAAATAATAATATAGATAGAATTCAAACGATTACCCATATATGCATGTATACGTGTATGTGTATATGTGCATATGTATGCCATAATGGAAGCAATCATTGCAGCCATGTATTTAATCAACGATGAGGAACAAGGCTATTGAACAGAAGGAAAACGAAAATCGGACGTATAATTTGAAGGAAAGAGATAGAGAAAAAAAGTTAAATTATCAATGGTCTCTTTGGCGTAAAAATTTAATAATCAAACAATCTTAAAGTGTCGTATTGTACGGTGTCTAATAATATAATCTTTATCATAAATGTGGGTGTTATTCGGAAAGTTTAATTGGTGAAAAATAATAATCGGGCCAATAGTTCTTTAACGCGGCTTCAAGCGGGCGCGAGTATGTGAAAAAGAAAAGTTGCAATAGTTGTCGCTTCTCTTCGCCGGTCAACGATTTACGATATTTACATTATAAAATAACAAGGCAAGGGCTTATACGTAATACAAATATTAAAAACTAAACGATACGAGAAAAAAATATTGCAGTTTCCTCTTATAAATAAATAAATGACGAAAACAAGTGCGGCTTTTTGTGAGAATATGATATAAATATATATTATATTAAAAAAAAAACAAATGGGTCGATTATACTTCGTTTGCGAATTATTGATACGTAGAAGTTATGATGCCTCAGCAAAGTCAGGGTATATGAGCGCTGGATGATTTACCGACGAGTAAAGTAGGGAAAAAAAACATAATAAAACGAAGGGAACGTGAATGAGATATGCTTTTTTAACATAGTTGCGATGCATTTGTTGCTGACAAAAAACAATGTTAATTCTCATTTTATTCAGTGCCATGGTTATCATGCGAGGAGAACGCGAAATAAAAAATAATTCGGAAAGTTTACGTTTGTATTTGAAGAGCAGTAAGAGGAATGAGAAAACAATTTTTTTCCGCGCAAGTTTTAATGGATTTATTGATAATAATAACGCAAAATACTGCCGCTATAATAACTAAAATATTCATAATAATGTATACATACACAATCCAAGACAAGTAAATTGAAGTAAAGGAAAGAAAATACAACAAAAAACGAGTACGATCAATCGGTGCATTTTTTTCTATAGGATTAACGAACTGATTTCTCTCTGTGCAACTATATCCCACAACGATTTTTATTGTTAATTGTTAATTTATGTTTAAGCGAAACGGCGATACTGTTGTTTTTATTTAATCATTATTATTAGCATCTTCATCTTCATTATCATTCATAATATTATTATTCTTTGTATCATGTATTTATTCATTTCAGTTGTTATACTTTTATGGAATTTATACGTACTTTTAATGATTTTATTTTTATGACTTTTATGAGATTAACATAAAATTATGCAAGCATTTGCATACGATTGGCTCAATTATGTGTGTAAGCAAAAGAAAAACAATAGCAAAGTATACAAAAATAAGAAAAAAAATTTTACTCGTACTCCGATTCGATGTATTGCAGTGTGATTTACTTTGTTTTTATACCAAAGTTGTAATATCTAATTTAAAGTTATTGAAATAAATAATATTTAAAATCCCAAAAAATGTATTTTTCGAGTTCATCAATTCAACCATTATCCCCTTCATTTACGATATCCTTATACGAATAAAAAATATTCAAACAATCGTTACAGTAATAAATTCTTTGAGTTGGTTAAAATATTATGCATTTGAATATTATCATATCAGAAAAAATGGATTTCCATATGGTCTCGCCCTGGTAGAAATCGAACATTTTTTGTGACATTAATGAAACGTTTTTCGACCGTTTATTGGCCAACTTGCCGTACTGGTCATTTAATGGCCAATAAATGGTCAAGAAAACGTTTTAATTTGAAAACTTTCAAAATATTTTTCTAACTGTTATTGAATCATCAAAAGGAAAAGGAAGACTATACCTAGTCATATATAATGAATCATGTATATTTCCAATTTTTTACAGAAGCTTTGATGAATAGGCAAGTGCAAAACGATTCGATGTCGTACACCACGTTTGAATCTCATGCGATACCGTTTAATATTCTCAGATGCAACACTCGGCGTGTCATACCCAAACAATAGGTGTTATACGAAACACACATCATTCGGTTTATACTCTTATGTATTGATCGTTTTTTAATATTCAAAGGCGATAAAAATATAGTTAACGTTGTATTTTAACCTCAGCCTTTTAATGGTATTATTAATATTGTGATATCACATCTATTTTTTTACTGTTAAACATAAAAATCGTCTACACTGAAGGAAATTTAAGGCTATTATACTCGCGCTTGGTTACGAAATGTAACGTGGTGTGGTGGCATTATCGCCTGAGACGTCGGTATCGTTTTAATACCAACTGGAAGGATTTTACGCCAAAAACAAAAACAATACTCTGCCAACTAAGAAAGATTCCGCAAGATGAAGAACGAAAGTTGTATATTTGAAAATAATAGTATAGCGGGGCATATTGCGCTTCAGATGTTTGGGTGCGAATCCTACCGAAAATTGAACTGCATTAGCACCAATACAGTAATTAATTTTCCCTGCAACAGACAGGGGCTTCATAGTAGAGTGGGAACTAAACACACCCACATTTTTTTCAGTGTAGATATAATAGATTGCAAAGTTTAGTTTCAATTCTTTCTTGTACCAAGTCAATAATACATGAACAAAATTGCCCATTCGGAAGATGATTGTTTTAATTAGTAATTGAGTTATTGATTACTCAAAGCCCAGAACACAGCCGACTCGTGCCATATGCACCATCTCATGTTTAGTCGCGAGCCACGTACGTGACATACACATGTTCAGCCAACCACTTGTGCATTTGAATTTCAAATATCGCGCGACATCTGTTAAAGCATTGTAATTTAGGAAACGTAGCCAGAGAACTGCAATGGCTAGAAAAATTACAAGAGATGCATTTATGTAAGTTTTTGATCCTCAGAAATCAAAATATCACATTATTTTTTGTCTCAACCCCTGGCATCAGGGTGAAGAACGAGGGTGAAAATGTTTTTCGCATATATCTCCAAAACTAAGCATGGTACGGGAAAATGAATGACAGCAATCGATTCCTCGTGAAATTTTACCCGAAGACAAAATTTAAATGTTCAAAGTGTCGGTGTAAAATCGTTCACAGTATCAAAAAATTAGTCAACCGTCGGTTGTTGCCTGTAAACGAATTAAAAGGGTATTTCTTTTTAAAATTGTACGAGGAATCGATTGGTGTTATCCATTTTCCCGTATCTTACTTAATTTTGAAGATAAAAGTCCAAAATATACATAAATGCATCGTTTGTAAACTTTTTGAACATAGCGGCGCGGCGTGCGTATTGAGGTTATCGCACGATGACGTCTTATACTGCTTGAGACAGGGCAGCTTTGCTTCGCTTCTCGCAAAGCAGCTTCCGAAAATGCCCGATCTCCTGTAGTGTAAGTCTGCATCGTGTTTGGTAGTTCACGTTGCTTCGTCTTTCATGAATCCATCATTTTTCCATGTAAATTATGCCGAGCTGTCGCTTGAAGTGGCCGACCGCAATCATCACGCCCCAAAATCATTAGAGCCGCGCCTACATCCGGGAGCCTTCATTACATTAATATTGAGTTATTCAAACACGTGGAGAGATAATTTGACACTTATCCGCTAAAGTCGGTTAGAAATGAATCGCACGCTGGAAACTCAGAATGGCTTCTTGATACTTTGGTCGACATTGGTGAATTTATCTCACTATATGATAGCAACAAACGGATTCTGAACGCACAATCGAATTGTTAATGATTAAACAATGTTAATACAGAAACTTCTGAAAGGTTAAGAATGAATATTTGATTCGCAGCTTCTGGGGGGACTAGCTGAGATTACTGCCGTTTTCAATCGCTCGGAAGCAATCATTATTTCCTAGAATTCATAGAGGAAATTTTACATCATTTCCATTGTGAGCCTGACAGATTCAATGACGCAGTTTAATCGTTACTTGACGAAAAACTGTCTCGCATTCCGACCAATCAATGAGTCATTTGAACACGATTAGATGCAATGGCGTTTATGGGTAATTAATATATTTGTGTGATATCATTGCAGATGTGTGTCACACTCAACTGGTGTTCCATTCAATCAGTATAGCTCAAAACATATTAAGGCAATTAGATACTTTAATTTCAATGAATCTTAAATTTTCTCTTTCTATTACCACCACCTCTTTCCTTTCTCTCTATGTCTACTCTCTGTATCTGTTTATGTAGATGTTGGACTCTCCATACGCGACCGATCTGCCAGTCCAACGGGCACTTCAACGTCGAAGCACATCGAGAGCGATCTTTTTCGTGTGTTCACCGATTTAGTTCAGTGCGTTAGTTTGTGAAAAAATGGCCAGTCCAACTAATTCATACAAAGAAGTGTCAGAGTCTTTCTACGCTGGAAAGATTCTGCAAGGAATTGTAGTTGGGATTAGCTACGGCAAGCGATGCGAGCCGAACGAAGCCAAGCTGGTCATTGGGACCAATAAGTGGCAATGTCCGTGTTGTTTGAAACAACACTTCGCCACATCGGGTGATGTTTATCGACACATAGAGGACGGCTCTTGTCACGACAGAAAAGTCAGTGTGATTATAAGATTGGGTGATGGCGTTTCCGGTCACATAGACCGGGAAAATTTGGAGATACAGACTGATCTGGAAAAAAGGCTGAAGAGGGGAGAAAGAATCCAGTGTGTAGGAGTGAGAATCGACCCGGAGAGGTGCAGTGTGGAGTGCACTCAAAAAAACGGAGTGAAAGTGGCAAGGGAAAAACTGTCAGTCAAGACAGTATCGATGCAGGACAAGTTCAAAAATATGTCCTACGGCGACGCAGAAATGTTGCTGACGAGCATGGAGCCAGGCGACGTTATCGTACGCTGTGCGAGCAACGGTGGGCTCTCCCTAACGTGGAAAGTATATCAAAATACTTTCAAAAATTTATCTTTGCGCGAAGAGAACAGCCAATTTTTCATCGGAAAATTGGCCTTCAAAAACATCGACGAGATTATTGCTCGTTTTATAAATCCGAAAGCAAACTTCGTCGGTGATTTGACACATCGTGATTTTTTTATAGATCACGTATGTGGCAATAAAAGCAGTGCGGAACTGTGTTTGATGAATATGATGGAAAATAACCATTATTACCGGCACCCTTACATTGTTTCCCTGTCGAAACAGCGCCCGACATTCGTGCTTTCGTTCATTTTACTAGGAGAAAATGTATGTAGGCATGAAAATATTGAAATTTCGCCTGAAGGATTTTTGTTCCGTGGCCAAATTTTCCAAGATGTTATGGAATTAATTTATTCAATACAAAGCTGCTAAAAAACAGCCGATGTTTGAATGAACTCGCAATGAATTAACGCCTGGACTATTCACAGCGAACAACACCAAAATCAAGTTCTCGCCGTGTGACATGTGAATGTGATGCGATATGATAGAATTTTGTTTAAAAATTGTATATTTGTAAATCAAATTAATCATAACTGTGATAAAACCAAGTTCAAATGTTAAAAAGACCAAACCTTAGCAGCTAATTGTACGAATTTTTGTATTTTTCACGATCTAGGGCTGTGATATACTGATGTTGTATCCGCATTTGAATTTATACTTCTATGTAAATATTTTTTTAATGCCAAAAATTAATAAAAAAAAATAAAAAAATTTACATGAATACAATGTTTTTCTTCATCCTAACCGATAAAAAAAAGGAACAATAACCTAAAGAAATTATTTATCAAAATTTCGAACTCTCATAGAAATAAAATTAAACTTAGTTGCTACAGTTTGAGATGTATTAATTAAAGAAATCTCTCTCTTTTGGCTCTTTTCTTATCATAAAATTTATTATCTCAATCAATATTTCAGTCACATCAGTATTGCAGAAGGATGGATGCTTGGTACAAAGACGCTGGTGTATGAAAATCGTTTACTCTTTTATTTACATAGAAGATATATCACCGCTGCCTACTAAAACGATATCACTTATGAAAAATAAAGTAAAGCAAAATAATCAAATAACGTTTATCTGAAGTATAATTATCACAGCAAATTTTTGAATTCTTATTTTCGTAAGCATTACTAATATATAATTCCAAGCAAGAACAGGTGAATAAATTTATAATAGACTGTGTGAGAGACAGATTGCAAACGCAATAACAACAATTGTCCACGCGCATACACACAATATGTAATGTTGATAAAGGATATTTTTGGGGTGAGTATTATTCATGCAGGGTTGTTCTTCACGAGACGGTATAGAGGCTTCGTCACGAATGCATAATATCTTTGAATGCTATATTATTAAATTTCAAATCGAGCCGAATTCGAATTTCTTAAAGAATTTTATATAAGTGCTTAAGTCTAAACAATTGTCCAATAACAAAATTACGTATATATAACAACAATACCAATACACAGTTTAAGGTGTTTACATGTACGCTCGTAATGGATCTTTAAATGTGTTTCGATCGCATTAATGCTTTGATAAGTGCGGTCTAATTACGTAATTAGAGCACAACTCTCTGATGAAATGAATTAACTATAAACCCATTGTGGATAGTACATCTAAGCATAAATACAATTTAAATGATCTCTCAATTGCTTGAAACAGGTAAGATGACAGGCGTATGTGTCGGTACAAACGCGTAATGTACGTAAAGTATCGTATGTCTCGTATCGGATATCTTATTTTGATAAAGGTAAGAGAATAAAACTCATCATGTGTCCACTTTATTTCACCGAGTAAAAATAAATATTTCTTGCGAGCGGCCCCGTCGTCGCTTCGCCCACTTCAGGTGAATACGAAGAATATGAAGATGTATTTTTTTTCCTCGCTATTGCTCCTTCCTGGATTTGCAAAAAGAAAATTTAGACATTTTTTTCGTCTGTTTCTGAAGTTCTCAAAGTTCGTTTGTTGTGAGCTTGAGAAGTAGAACGACCAATCGATAAACGTTGAGGAAGAGTATTTAAACCCCAAATAATTTCACAAAGTAACAAAAATTTCCACGAGTTATAAAAAAATTTGAAACTTTTAAAGGGCAAAATTGACCGCGTACAAGTAAGAGCAACTGCTTTCGTTTTTTTATAATTCACCTAGCGAGCAATCGAGGGAGCACGAAGTAGTAAAAAATTAAAAAAAAATTGAAACTCAAAAACAGAAAGTAAAAACATCTTGTAAAATTATATAAACCTGCCCAGTAGTGCAGTGAATGAATGGCAAAAATTTGCAGACGATCAGATGGATAGTTTTTGAGAACATAAAATAAAAACAGACGACTTTTCTGCTTTTAGATGAATAATTTTCATCCCAAACGAACTTGGTTAACATTCTAATTTTGTTATACATTTAATTATTTTTCAACAAATTAACTTTAAATCTAGAAATTTGACTTCAAGTTTGTTAATGATTTATCTTAATCGGGAATAAATGTTTACATAGGTCAAGAAAAATTTTCTCTTAGAAAAACTGGGTTGATTACAACAAATTATTTTAACACATTTTAACTTACAATCTTTAGAAATTCTATTTAATTTATATCTGTTTATATTTATATATTTTTTCACGGTGGCTCCTTCAAATAAAAATATTCTTGTTCAAAAAAGGCAGAAAAAAGTCATGGACATTACAAAAAAATTAAAAATTATCGACTCATTAGAGAGAGGTGAAAAATTGCAATTTCTCAGTATGATAATATTAGTAACTTCTAATGTTGGCCTCTCGAACTGATATAGTTATATCTTGAGTCATTACTTGAGTTATTACTCGGGTTAATACTTGAAAAATTACTTAAGTATTAACTAAAAAATCAAATTTTTTCAAAAATAAGTGCACATTCAGCAGGAATTTATTTTTGATTTTAGTTTTCAGGTTTAAAAATGTTGATCCCGTTTTAGAAAAAATTAATGAATGAAATGGGGTGAAATTTGGTACAGTTGTTTACAGCACAGATCTTGTAGGAATAAAATCATGGAAAATTATAACCACACAGTTTTTAGTTCTCATCTTTATTGTCATCATCTTTTGTTTCTACAATAAATCCCCATGCATACGATGTTTTTTTTGTTTTGCTTCGTTAATACATCATACATTTCATGTGTAAAGTATAAGTGACAAATAGTATATACACTGCTCCTCCTTACTTTTTTTTTAATAACAATATCTTATAAGAATGTTGAAATATCGATAGAGAAATTTGTTCACAATAATGAATTTTTTTTCTAATTAAGAGATGCCAGATTTTGCACTTTGCAAATGTGTTTGAAATTCATTGAATACACGATAAAGAAACACATTTTATTGCTGAAGTTAATTATTGTGTGCATTAAACACGATATTAATTAGTTTTCCGGAAATTCATATGTAAGTGACCTTTTCAAAATAGTATAAATTTGATATACAATGTAAAAATATGGCTATAAAATCCAATGTTTTATAGAATTCATTCGTGGTATTTTGTTGAATACAGAGTATAAGTTATTTTCATTATTATTACAAAAAATTCTTGGCATTTTTCGTTCAGTCGTGGTATTTTTAGGGCCTCAAATATTCGATTCACATCTGCATACGAGGTGCTTGATCACCGCATTTGAAGCACTTCTCGATTAAATTTTTTCACAATTGAATAAGTAATCTGATCAACAGAATCGATAAAAATTATTATTTGAGCTAGTAGCAACAAAAATTTTATGCTATAATTATACACCCACACACACACACTTACATGAAGATTTTTTAAAACATAAAAATTATGAAACTATCCTTCTGACTATTTATAAAAAAAAAAAGAATTTAGTATATACAGTGTGTATACATATAATATATGAAAAAATTTACGGAAGCATAAGTACGTATCAATAGTTTATCTTTATTATAATATCAAACACATCACAGATTTTCTAACGTAACGATAGCCGCTTTCAATTAATGATTTTGATTTAAAATTCTTTTATTTACATTCAATACTCTAGAGCCATCAAAAGTTGAAGCAAAGTTAGAGCATTCGATCAAAAAATGATTCTATATACTTTGAAAATTGTGACATTTATAGACAGATTTCTCATTGTAAAATATTTAATCGGAACGCGCTAGTTTTGCCTTAACTCCGAGTGCTGGTTACATTTTCCAACGAAACAGCTTACATCTAAGTAATTAAATTTCCAAACTTAACGAAAAGCGTTGAATCGAGGAAGATTACACATTGAATTTCAAGCATGATAATTTTTTCGAAATATTTATAATTATTCGTTTTTAATTATATGTTAAAGAGTTCGATGTTACAAAATTTAGCGTTTTACGATTATATGATATATATACGAGAATAGTGTTACGGTACCCACTAATACCGTGACAATAGAAAAATATTTGGCACGAATAATACAATAGATGAAGACAATTATAGGAAATTTTCAAAAATCGACATCATCAAACGAGATGAATACTTATTATAGCTTTTGGATTATAAAATCACGCGGTAATTTTTTATGATACATGAGTGATAAGAACTTTTGATTGCACCATAACTCGGTGACTAATGCATGTAATGGAAAGTAAATGAGATCCTTTTGGGCAAAATTAGTCACCAATCCAAGTCCTGCGTATTACTATGTTAGTTTTCATTATACCATTATAACGCTCAATCGTGCGCATTAAGTCGATGAAACTTGATTCTAGCGAACGAATTAATTTCATTATTTACAAATTTCGTTTGCAGATTAGCTCGCTATTACATGTCTTTCTCTGTGAAATGTACAGCCTCATCAAAAATGTAATAAGCGCAAATCGATCATATAAATCAGGTAACATCATTCTCTCATTTATTAAATTTATTTTATTATATTTATAGATGTATTTTAATTTTATCAATTCTGATTGTACGCTTATGCTTATAAGTATAATGTATACGTAAATGCATAACTGGGCTATGTGGGATAAACGTCTCTCAGCGACGCGCCAACAAAAATTCCTATCGAATAGTTAGTGCTTTTACATTCAGCTTAGTATAACAATGTAGTATATAATATACAATTTGAGGCGTTCCCTCGTATGCGCTCGTAATTTCCTCGTCGATGGACCTTTTAATGTGTTGCGAGCGCATTAATAATTTGATGAAGTACGATCAAACTATGTAAATAGGATAGCGTAACTCGCGTCGAGGCTTCGATTTAATGAAACGAACGAACTATAATCCCACTGTGGAATATTGATTTTAGCATCGGTATAATTTATAGTCTCTTGAGCGTCATGTACTGTTAAACGTATTAATCATATAAATGTATAAAAATAAAACTAGTCGCGTATCCACACCTCTCGACCGAGGGTAAATATAATATATTTATAATATGTAGACGCGATTCATCCCTATTAGACGAGCAGCGAAGCGAGCTTGTGCAAATTCGTGATGGTGGTCGGATCGCCTGGCTGCAGCCGCAGTGCCTCGCGATAGGCCGCCGCGGCCTGTCTGTACTTGCCGTTGAGATGCAGAATGGCGCCCAGATTCGCGTGGCTGCGAGCCTCCAGGGGCCTCAGACTCAGGGCGTGACGATACCAGAGCTCGGCCTCCTCGCAGCGGGCCGCCCTCCTCAGGCTCGACGCCGCCGCCATCGCCAGGTCGTAGTCCTGGCGCGACAGGGTGGCCGCCTCGAGATGCGCCTCGGCGGCCTCGCTCAGGCGGCCTTGCATGCTCAAGAATAAACCTGCTCGACACAATGTATGACAAGGCGTATAAACTTTCTACGTATAAGCTCGACTGATCGATCGTAATTTAATGCGGTGATGAATTTACCATAATGATGATGCACGCTCGAGTCTTGAGGAGCTAATCGTCTCGCGCGTAGAAACCAACGCTCTGCTTCCGTTATGCGACTTGACTGTAAAAAAAGTAAACAAACAACGTATTAGGATGTTTATCTTACTCAAAGTAAACGTTTAAAGTTTAGTTTTGTTATTATTTTACTCCTTATTTATTTATATATGGGTCAAGTTCAGAATCTTTTAAATAAACCTGCTGACGAGGTCCACTGATTTTTATCATAAAAGAGTCCCAAAACCAAAATTTTAGACCCCCTCCCCTCCTGCCCTCCTACCTTGAAATTTGACAACCCCCGCTATACACGTCTATTTTCTATTTATATTTATTTTGAAGCCCTAAAGTAATTAAAAAATCTGAAAAAATTCAATTGAATTGAGTGCTTGAAAAATAATGTAAGTATAATGAACTTCTTCAGAGTTTCGCATTAATCTTTGTTATGCTCTAAAATGAGCTAGGAAGCTTCAAACGAAAACTCGAAACGATCAAAGTTTATTAAAATTTGACAAGGAATTCAAAAATAATATTTTCATTTTTGTACCGGAACCATCGGGTTCCAGGAACCTTTTTTGTTAAAAATAACGTTTTTCGGCTCTAAACGCTATCGCCTTCAATTAAAAATTCCGAAAAAATTGAGATTATGTATTTTTCCAAATTTTTTAAAGTTCTATATCGTCATAAAAAAATTATTTTCGTGAAACAAAACGGTTTTTCAGCACTAGGCTTTAACGGTACAAATGAAAAATTCTTAAAAAATTCAAGGAATCGTTTTTTGGTGATAAAATTAAGAAAAAAATACTTCAGTCTGGTATATCGATCCATTTTACCTAAAATAAAATAATTTAAATTTTCAATGATTTTTCCTGAAAGCCTGAAGCACTCAAAAAATCTGAAAAATTTCAGGGTTGTTTGGATAATTAAAAAGCACTTTCATGAATTTTTTCAGATTTTTTGATTACTTCAGGGCTTCAAGATAAATATAAGTAGAAAATAGACGTTTATAACGGGAGTAGAGGGTCTAAAATGTGGTTTTTGGGACTTTTTCATAATGTACTATAACATACCAAAATTTCAGGAAAATCTGCGGACCTCATTCACAAGTTTATTTAAAAAATTCTGAATCTGACCCATATTTATCATTCAACTAATTAAGTTAGGATCTAGAAATTTGATCACGAAGCTTTTTAATGATTTATATTATTCTGATAATACATGTCACATACTTTGGGGGGATTTTCTGTTAGCAAAAGTTGGGGATGGGTACAAATTATTTTATTACAAAACTGTGTATTGTATTCAAATCTTGAAATGCGAGATTTCATGTTGATTCTAATGTAATATATTTGAAATTAACTTCTATTAAGTGTAAACATTGTATACATTTTAAATCAATTGAAACCCAATTCAATTTTTTTGTATGAAATTTGAATAATAATTAATGTCGACTTTCACCACTAGGTGGCTAAAGTAATTACACGTAAACTTGCAAGTGGCAAATTAAAGATGCTTATTTAAGTAAGAGCTTTTCTTAAAATAAATTGTCTGATAATAAGATTGAATGATGGCTTTTCCAAACATTTAGATTGGAAAAATCTCAAAAAAACGATCTTCATCGAAGCTTATAAATCCGAGAGCAACATTCGTCGCGAATTTGACACTGCGAGATTTTTTTATAGATCACGTATGTGGGAAAAAAGCAGTGCAGAAGTGCGTTTACTTAACATGATGGAAAATAACCATCATTAACAACGGTGGGCTCTCCATAACGTGGAAAGTATATCAAAATACTTTCAAAAATTTATCTTTGCGCGAAGAGAACAGCCAATTTTTCATCGAAATTATTGAGCGAATATAGAGACATGAGCGAAAATACCCACGTTGACCTTACTAGGAGAAAATGTATGTAGGCATGAAAATATTAAAATTTCGCCCGAAGGATTTTTGTTCCGTGGCCAAATTTTCAAAGATGTAATTCAATTAATTTATTCCATACAAAGCTGCTAAAAAAAGCAGCCGATGTTTGAATGCACTCGCAACGAATCAACGCCTGGACTATTCACAGCAAACAACAACACCAAGCATACAAAATCCAGGAGCCGGTATTTATGTGAGAAAATAGTGTTAGCCATTAGCGATTTATGAATACGCCACCTATTGGCGATACAATGAAATTCGATTATTACGATCACTTTCTGACAAGAAAATATCATTATTTCAACCGGCTGAGGTTCCGTAAATAAATAATACTTTTCAGTGAATTTGAATTTTCATCATCTTCGAAACATGATGCTATATTTGTTATTATTATTATTAATTTTTCATAAAAAGAAATTATTGATTAATGGGACATTTTTCATTTTACTTAATGGTTTTAAAAATACAGATAAATCGAACTATTTTTTCTTTTTACTTTTTTCAATAAGGTTAAGGAGATGTCAAGGCAGCTCAACAATTTAATTTCAATTCGGTAGTATGAAACTTATAAATTATATGTAAAATACACAGATGCCGACTCTAGACATTTCATATCTCGATCAACGAATTTATTATCAATAAATGCAATGCAATCACTGTAAAAAATGAAAATCTCATTGTCGTTGCAAAATTTTACTTTTAACCAGATCATAAATAGGAGAGCAAAATATCCCTATCAAGAGATAATTATTATGATTTGTTATTGACACATTAATTAATGTAATGCCAGCGCATAATTAGCTCGCGGCCACAGGTCCATCCATATCTTCATATAATGCGTGAGGCACGCGCCACACAAGTGCCAAACAAGTGGCACACACACGCCACACACATGCCACACACACGCTATAAGCACTCCACACACACTTATTTTTCACACTCATTTGAATTTCTAATTAAACATCATCGTGTATTCGGATCGTCTCGTCAGGGGTTTCTACTTACATTTCGAGCAAGTAATTTCCCGTAAGTTATATGAGCTGGCACGTGATTCGGTTGACTGGCAAGACTCGCCCGAAACCACTTTTCAGCCTCGCTGTACTGCTGCAGACGGGACAATGTCTCGCCCAACAAATTGTACACACTCTGCGCAACGGCGGAGAAAAAAATGATTAATGTTAGATAACGAGCGTCATCGGTTTATGTGAAAAAATTTCTGAGGCTCACCTGTCTAGGGTAATGCTCGGGCATCGCCTTAAGGGCCTCTCTGTAAGTCGAGAGAGCACTGTGCAATCGTCCTTGCTCAGCGTAGATCGAGCCGAGCTGCAACAGTGCCTGAAGTCGCGCGACCTCGTGGGCTTTGCGGTCCTTGAGAGCCGAGCCGTCGATCGACGCGGCAGCCCGCAGAACGACCACCGCCTCGTTTTCTCGCCCCAAAGTCGTCAGAGTCGAGCCCAGATTCACGTAAGCCTCTGTAAAAAATTTAGGAGTTTTTATTAAGTCGTGTATCTATCAAAAACGTAGGCAGATGTAGTTGAAACTTACGAGCTAGAGTCGGCCGAAAATGAATCGCTCGCTGGAAACTCAAGATAGCTTCGTGATAATTTTGTCGACTTTGCTGTATGATGCCTCTGTAAAGATATTTCAATATAGCGTAATACAGTTTACTATTTTGTCTAAAAACTTTAATTCAAAAAGTAAAAACAACAAAATATAACGTTTTTTAAGGCAATCGATATATATGCTACACAACAAAATTATTGACACAAAAAATGTCATCGAAATTTTGTCAATTTTCAAATGCTTCTATCTTGGTCTATATTCATCGTGTCGAGATGAACTTTTCTATGATTTCAGCTAAACAAGGGATTTTACGTACTTAAATGATACCTCAAAATTACCTATAGAACGCAAAAATGATCGTAGAGAGCTCTATTTTTCATAATTACTCGTTTAAAAGAGTATTTTACGATAAACTATGTTAGATGTAAAAAAAAATTACTGTAGTCCATGGACATGTTTGAAAAATCGACTTTTTTCAGTAATTCTTTGTGTTGCGCTTAAATGCAACGGGTAACTCCGTATTGACTTGAACCTGTACATAATATATAAGGATTTAAAGGGGGTTACATTTCCAAGAAATCAAAAAAAAGTTCATTTCGATACGATGGATATAAACCAAGATAGAAGCATTTGAAAATTAACAAAATTTCGATGAAATTTTTCGTTGCGATAATTTTGTTCAAAAGTGTATAAGGGAGGATTCTGGTTTACGAGTTTTTAAAAATCAATTTGTTGCATTATCGAATTATTTATATTTTCAAGAATCACCTCATAAATTCTGGTGAAGAAATTCAAATATTAAGTCAGTCAAACTCAAAATTGAATGCAAGCAAGTACACAGTTTTTAGAGGCAGAAGAAAACGGTAAAGAAACGTCTTTACTTTCTTTTTTTTCTAATTGACGCCATTTTTTTATACCGTTAAAGAAGAATTTTTGACTAATTCGTTCATAAACAATTTATAGTCCTTCATTATAAATTCTTAAAAACCATTTATATTTGAGCAGTGTCAACCAAAATACTTCATTAAAGTATTTTTTTCTTTTATTTTTGTCACTTAAATTAAATAAAAATTGTATGTATATAGATGAATAAATATCCTAGATTGCCCAACTGTGTATTAATGTAATGAAAAAATTATACGATATTGATTTTGATGGGCAATAAATTATTTCAACAGCAAGATCGTGTTGAAATAATTTCTTGCTCATCAAAATCAATATCGGATAATTTTTTCATTACAAAATTGTATGTAATCCGACTATGTCATTCAAAGCTGAGTTGAAACGCATCTACATATCATGTAAAGGTTTGAAATTGCCAACAAAAACTCAAATAAACATCCGCTCATTCGAGATGAATCAAATACTTATTCTGATTGCCTGGCATCGTCTGTTTCTAACGCCATTGACTTGTGCATAGAGCTAAACTTAAAGAAGCACGAAAAAAAATGCCTAAATGCACTTCTATCAACGAAATGATATGAACAATACATCATATCGATATATCTTTTTTTTGCTCTGTCCTACGTCAAAGTCAGATTGTTAAAATTAGAATTTTGTCATAGAAAAAATGAAAAAAATTAAATAGCATCGATACTTTACTCTCTAAAATGTGTAATTTTAGTTATAAAAATGCTTCGATTTGTAAATTAAAAACTATAAATAAATCTGTCACTAAAATTGTTAATCAGCGAAAATAGGCCCGAAATTCGGACAAAATAGCAATCAAAATTTCAGGTAGTAACAAGCCTCAACTCGAGCGCTCGAAAAACTTAGTCAATTCCAGTAGTGCTTGCGATGTGTCGATTAATACCCCTGATAGTGTTCACACAATTAAACGCGAGCGTCTCACACTTTCCAGTAGTAGCTTGTAGTGTGTCGATTAATTATATGCCTGATATATGCGTGTACACACAATTATACGTGGGCATTTCACACCTAATACAACACTTGTATTTCAAACCAAAATATGATTGATATTTTCCAAGAGCAGGTCGTCAAACAAGTACATCTGGCAGAAGTGTGAATTTATAAACTCTGCTACTATTTAAGGCGTCTGTGCATGTTTCGACTTGTTGCATTTTAATTTTTACGACGTTGATCTCGTTCAAGATAAATCTGGCACGATGTGAAAAAATGTAAAAACATCTCGGCTTAAATTGCAGCATATGTTACGTGAGAGTTTAATGCCGGTTATCGAGTTTCTTTCATCGGTTTCTTTTTTCCGAAATGCGAAGAGCTTCGGCAACTTACAAATTGTAATGAACGTCGGCCATGTTGGGCCGATGTCGCAGCGCCTCCGTAAAGGCTTCCTCGGCCTCGTCAATTCTTCCCTCGGCGCTAAGCACGCTTCCCAAATTGCCGTAGGCTGCAACGAAATAAAACGTAAACGACACATTGTCAATTAATTAATTCGTCATCGATGCCATAATATGAATTACCTTTCGGAGGATTGATCCTCAGCGCCGACCTGTACAGACTCTCCTCGTTCTGCCAGTCGACGTTGCGCGCCAGAGTCTTGGCGAACATGCAGCCGAGAAGCAGCGCCGTCATTGCGAGGACGAGTCGAGCCAGCCTCACGAGGCCTCGACGTCGTGCCTGATTGTACGTCGCACCGATCGCGGCGCCGATCGCCAGACAAGCCCCGACGCTCGGCAGGTAGAGTATGCGCTCGGCGATGACGAAGCCGACGTAGAAGAAGAGATTGCTCGCGGGCAGGAAGGGAAAGACGAGGAAGCCGATAATCGTGAGGAGAGACGAAGGTACGAGAATCGATCGAGGATTCAGTAGTCCTTTGTGGTTGTAGTTGTATTTCATGTTGTTGTTGTTATTATAATTGTTGTTGTTGTTGTTGTTGTTGTTGTTGTTGTTGTTGTTGTTGTTGTTGTTATTGTAATTGCTGTAATTGTTATTGTTGTTGTGACGCTTCGACGCTGTCGTTTGATGCGGCTGTGATTGCTGCTGAGGCTGTAAATGATGATGATAATGTTGCATCTGAGGAACTTTGGACATCTGCAGCTGCTGATGCTGCAACTGTTTTTTCTTCGGGCAATGGCACTCGGCCACCGGGCCGTTGTTGTTGTTGTTTATGGCTCGACAGCCGTCGGTGTGGCACGAGCCGATGCGTCGACCGGCGCAGACGGGACATCGAGACGACGACGACGTGGTAAGAGGCGACGACGTGCCGGACGATAACGTCGTGGAAGACACGGTGCCGAGACAATTATTAGTCGAGCTCGGACACGCGGAAAACGAGTAATTTTGTTGCTGCTGCTGCTGCTGCATGGGGTGAAAATGATTTGTTGTGGGCAACGATACTGTCGTCGTGCTCGTGCAGTAAGACGACGACGCAGCAGTAGACGTTGCTAATGCTATATTTGCAGTTGTTGGGCCAGTAGGCATCGAGTGCGTCTGCTGCTGCTGCTGCTGACTAGTGTAGGAAGACGAGATTTGATCCACGAGGTAGGACCTGCGAATGACGAAAGTATATTGACGATCGCTTACGTAGGCAAAAGAAATATCGTCGAGTAGGTACGATTTAAGGGGGGGGNGGGGGGGGGGGGGTCTTGTTCGATGGTTTTCGAGCTGCATTTTAATAATTTTTTTTAAGCACATAGTAAAATGAATTTATCTATAAATTATTAAATTATATACATTATAAATGGTTATTTGAAGAACATCCAGTTAAATTTTCAGCTTAAAATAGTGAAAAATAAGCTAACTACAGCAAATTTTCTCACAAAACTGAAAAAAAAAGATCGATTGCGGTGGACACTGTAACTGAAAATCTACTCGACCGATTCTTTCCAAATTTTTCTCACTATTTATCTACATAAATTATGAGGTAATGACGTCGAGATATTTCGTTTAAAATGATTTTTGAGTTTTTGGCATCATTTTGAAGTGAAAAAAATGACTTTTTCAACAAAATGAAAGCAAAAATTCATCGTACTTGTTCGTAAAAAGCATTTAAAAATGCAAAAAGTTAAAATATCTCGACGTCATTACCTCATATATCATCTACTTAAATAGTGTATAAAATATGAACTTGATCAGTCGAGTAGATTTTGAGTGATGGTGTCCACCGGATTTTTTTTACGTTACATGTGAACATTTGCTGTAGACACCTTATTTTTTAGTATTTTGGGCTGAAAATTTAACTGAATATTCTTCAAATAACTATTACTTATGTGTATGATTTATAGATCAATTCGATTTACTATATGTTCAAAAAAAAAATTTAGTCAAGACCCTACCCCCCCTTNCCCCCCCCCCCCCCCTTAAACAATTGTCACATTGAAATTAATGTAAAATTGAACCAATTACGAGATAAATTTCCTATATAAAATATTGTTTAATGCGTCGTTGTTTTTATACGATTTTTTCTTTTTGACACTTGCAGATTCAGGGATAAAAATATAGTTGCCATCTAGTGGTGGATGCTGGCATTAACTATGATTAAATTTCCGTGAATTTATTCGAGCAATTTCAATGAATATGTTTAAATTTCAATATAGCATTAAATTTTTTTCTCAATTTTTGCAATAACGTTCATTTTAACAATTCGTGAATTAATAATATATAAATTTTATAATGTTAATTTACCAGATTGCTCGAATCATTCTTTGAAAAATACCGATATAATATACTCGACAGTCGACATATTCTGACAAATTGTTAAATAACAATTTTTTACTCACGTATATTATGTACTCAAACAATTATTTTTAGTTTTCTACTTGCAGATTTATAGATAAAAGTATATTCATCTCATGTCAGAAGCTGACTTTAATTGTATAATTGAATTTGTCTGCTTTTTTGTGTACTTTATGTAAAAAATCTGAAATTTCACGAAAAAATAACTTCAGTAAAATTCAGGATCTATCAGTTTGAATCTGCATTAAAGTCGAGGTTTTTTCAACAGTTTGTCACGGCCAATATATACCTGTTGATACGTTGACGATGACCCATCGTCCGGTGCTGATGTTGCTGCTGCTGCTGCTGCTGCAGTCTCAGCTCTCGCGATCTGTACAGGCTGTGCCGCCTGAGACTGCGACAGGCCCAGATCGTAGCGGCTCCGAGAGTCCCGTAGAGCAGCAGAGACTCCAAATTTCGCAGATCCGCCAGACTCGCGACGACGGGCACGGCGTTCATGGACCAGTCGAAGCTGAGAGTGCAGGGGCAGAGCAGCATGCCGAGGCTCGCCGCGGGCAGGTATAGGAAGGTGAGGCCTCGGGCCAGACGCGACGGATGCCGAGCCACGGGATTGTCGGCGGTGGCGAACTCCGGTGTGCGGCCCCCGCCGGCCCGAAGACGGCCCAGGGTGATGATCGCCAGGCTGCCCGCGACGATCGTCGAGGATGGCCAGCGTTTGCGAATCTGTGGCAGATAGAGAGGCTGAAAATTACGCGTTTCTTGCGATCCGGTTCTTTTAAATTTGCGGCTAAATTTAAATAACTCGACTTGGATCAAAATTTGAAAATAAATGTTATACGACTTTCCGAAACTTTTACGTGCGACGTTTGCTTCATGGTTGTTGAGATCAAAGGCGCAATTTTCAGAGACGACAGATAGAGGAATAAAGTCTATTAATTTCAAACGGAATGCCCTCAACCCCAAAGAAGTTACAACGAAAAAAACGTCATAATTTGAAATAGCGGTACGATATGCGTGCGACTGTGCCTTCGTCCGTGCAATGTACTCAGCTGCTGCACCTAGGACACTGACAAAATTTGTTTATCAGTCCGGAAACTGCAACCTCGCGAATTATCAAGCATGTAACTTAACTGCAAAAGCGATGACTAATTGCATATTTACTTTTCAAAGGTAACGCGCAAGAAAAAATGCGATTTTCTCTTTCATCTTGTCTGTCGCAAGTTCCATTGACAAAAAATGTTTTTATACTTCATCTGCCTAAATTTTGCATTCGTTTAACGTCATACAAGAAAACTTAATAACCAAAACTGGCTTTAGTAAATGCAATTGTCACTGAGCGTCCAAGTTATTTAAATTTACTTTATGGTCAATTTTCTGTGAAATCGAAGGGCTAAATAGTATATTTTTCACTCCCTAGGTGCAAAATATATATTATTTCTTCTGCTTACATGAAAAACTTGTTGTTTAGCATTTTTCTTCTTCTGAATTTCACATTTATCGGAATTATTCAAAAAAGGCCTAGCTCAGCCCTGAGTTACTATAGGAAAAATAGGCCAAACTTTTAATAATATAAAATTTACCCCCGATGATCTCCGAGCCATTTGAGAGCTTTCTACTGTACGAAGAAACACAAAAGTCAAAATCCAATATAGTTCGATCCGGATCATCCTTTCGTCCCCAAAAAATTCACCGAATTCCCTTACAGTATTAACCAGTGAATGTTTGTAGTAGGCTTTCAATTCTGAAGGCCTTCGAAAAATTCGAGATAGTATCGACAATGTGGAAAAAAAATCGTCGAATACAGGATACGCTTGTTATTTTCCGCTCTTTTCGACGTTTTTCGATACTCACCGATGGCTTTTAAAGTTAGTGAGCCGTTGCAAAAATTTTAGTAGGTAATGGATGACATTGTAAAAAAGTTCTGTGAATTTTTTCGTAGATAAAAGTCCGGATCGAACTTGATTAGATCGTAGTTTTTATGTTTCCCTCTCTAATAGATGCAAACTTTCAAAGTGCTGATGGGTGTATATTTTTTCCCCCAAAAGTTCGAATAATTTCTAATAAAAATCTCCCCTAAAGTCCCACCGTGAACTGAGCAAGGATTTTTTTTAAATATCAGTAACTTTTAGACGCGCTTCGTATACGTGTCAATTAGGCCATGTTTTGAAATAGATTCTATTTCGACTACTTTTCTGTTCCAGATTGAATTAAAAGTTACTATAACAATCGGAAGCCGTTCAAAGCTGCTTCACTTTTCGATGCATCACTTTTTTTTTAAGTAGATAAGTAGATAGATAGAGAAAAGGATTAGCAAAAAGCACGCATTTCGCGAAAAAAAAATAGCAAATTGAGTGACGGTAGAACGAGCTTTTCATGCTAGTAGAAAACATTTGGCCATTCGATTTGTATCGATCGTACCTTGCGCAGAAGTCGCTCGCTGTGGCAAAAGTCCCAGAGCAGACACAGCGCCAGCGACGATATGCCCGTCTCCTTGGCCAGGGTCGCCAGCACCGCCAACAGCAGCGTCAGCGCCAGATTGGCCAGTGGCCTGCGACGCTCGCAGTGCGCCACGTAGGTGAGAAAGGCGCCCTGAGTCAGCAGACAGGCCAACAGATCGGCCCTGCCGACTATCCCGGCCACCGCCTCGGTGTGTATCGGATGCACGGCGAACAGCAGTCCGCTCACCAGCTGGGCCAGCCGCTGGCCCGGCAGCACTTTGCGAGCTATGCGCACCACCAGGGCCGTGCAGGCGGCGTGCAGCAGCACGTTGACCAGATGATAGCCGTAGGGCTCGTGACCGGCCCAGGCGTAATTGAGCCGGTAGGTCGCCACGCAGAGAGGCCGGTAGCTGCCGTGCGAGCCGGCCTCGCGCAGCGGCGTGCCCCAGAAGTCGTTCTCGAGGAGGCGCGACCACGGCGTCGTGGGCTTGAGGTCGTTGTTCGTGAGGATGGCACGCCTGCGAATTTTCGGATCGTCAATTTCAATTCTAATTTTGTAATCGCTGTACGCGAGTTGACTAAATGATCAAGATGGATTCGTTACTATTGAAATTTATGGATTATTTTGGTCTTTGCTGGCGTGGGTAATAAAATTAGGAATATCACATTCATCTCTTTCATGTATAATATAATTGACCTAATTAGTTTTAATACATTTATGATTAATTAGTAGAATGTACGCCAAAATCAAACATTTTGCGAAAGCCGAAATATCGCTATAAATAGAAAATTCTAAACAAGGTAATGTAAGAAATTTAATTTGCAAATTGAATTATTGTCCTCGTATACGCTAATTTTATTTTGATACCATGATCAATGCGCGATCCATTTTATTGAAAATCGATTATTAATTTTGGCGATATGACTTAATATCATTGATTAAATTTTTCAAGATAGTTTAACATTTAAGGGGACACATACACCTTAAACTCAAAACATTTTTTATTGCATTTTTTGAAATTCCAAAATTTTGATTTTGCATTGAGATACAGCGGTTTCTGTGAGCCTTTTTCCAATACTTTACGTGTTAAATTTTTTCTTCTCTTGCGTTTTCTGGCGAGTAGTGTTTTTGGTCATCTATCGTAACTTTCAGAGGGTACCGATTGAGCTTTAGTACCAGGGTCGCATACACTTCTTCAGAACATCAACGGTCACTACCTCAGATGAAAAGATCGAACCAATAAGTCACTCTCATACAGTACTTTTATGATTTAAATTTCGGTAAAAACGAAAAATGGAAAAAAATGTGTGCTTAACTGTTCACGCAGAGCAATCTGCCCGTTCGATCGTCTCATCCGCGGTAGTGACAGTTGATGTTCTGAAGAAGTGTATGGGACCCTGTTACTAAAGCTCAATCGGTACCCTCTGAAAGTTACGATAGATGACCAAAAACACTCGCCAGAAAACGCAAGAGAAGAAAAAATTCAACACGTAAAGTATAAGAAAAAGGCTCACAGAAACAGCAGTATCTCAGTGCAAAATCAAAATTTTGGAATTTCGAAAAATGCAATAAAAAATGTTTTGAGTTTAAGGTGTATGTGTCCCCTTAATTTTTAATTAATTGAAATATGAAATATTTTAATTTCATGTTCAATTATTACACGCACTTTTTTCTTTTGCATGCAAATAAAAGTTCACAATCCAGCCTTTCCCACTAAAATGACTGGTTCATCTTTGATCATTAATCGTTTGATGATTGATTTTTTTATTTTTTACTTTGGGATAGAGCCGTTCCCTTGGAGAGAAGAAAAGTTCAATTTTCAATGTATAAAAAGGCAACACATCGACTTGGATGAGTATTGTAAAAATCTTACCGAAGGTAAAAAAATATTTAATATTTTTTTAATGTCTTACTTATGGCAAACCAAAAAATTTCTTGAATGTAAAAAGACTACAAGAACTGGGTGCATGCGTTGAACTAAAAAATTTTCAAAACCATGTTTTGATTTGTATAGGTATATTGACTTTACCATTTGCAGATTTACTGATTAAGATGTACTGAGAAGTAGTTTAAAACTGATTTAATTCTTTTTTAAACAAGTATGTGACCACCTTCAAGTCATAATTGCATCGGAAGAAACGATAAAAACGAACTATTAAAATTTACATACAATTTGTTCTTGTTGAATTTTTTTAAACGATAATTTTTCGATAACTAGGCCGTCATTAACATTAAGAATTTCTACTCGCACTTCAAGAATTTAGACTAAGTTTGAAATGTAAACACGTTCACTTTACAAAAATAAATAGATCTTCGATGAACGACATCGTGATCTTCGAAAAAATACCAGTCGCTTAATAATGAAATGTATAGATGTAATTGATCATCACGGTAGCGCCATGAATTGTTTTCATTTTCTCCACAGCGTTCATGTAATATTATGATTATTCCACACGGTGTCGATCAAACGATTACGAAATGCATCACATAATCATTTAGCTTCTCGTCCTCGAGACTAAGTAGCGAGTCAACACTCTCAACACCATCGAAAAAGAAAGAAAAGTGGCGCTAATGATTCGGATTAAATATGTAAATATTTGCCTCGATGACGTCTTAATTGGCCTAGATCGTATTAGAAACTCATCTCATATGTATGCGTAAAATACTGACCTGTCATCGTAAACGAAGCCGGCTTCGAGCGTATTGTAGTAGAGGGCGATCGCCACGAGAGCACAGGCCAGCGCAAGGACGTCCATGATCACGAGTCTCTCACATCGTCGTCGTCGTCGTCGTCTACTTGGCTCGCCGCGGCAGCTCTCCGGCTATGGTGACTTGCCATATACGCGCACGCACGACTTTCGACTCCGGCTCTCGTAGTTCTTACCGCAAATGTCCTGGCGTATCGTACCGCACCTCGACTCACACCTTCAGCGATGTATGCATTCGACACCCTTGTGTTAGCGCGAGTGGCGAGTGTGTATTGTTCGCTCAGGGGCAATTGTCGCGTCGCCGAGTGTACGTACGACTCGACGCGATATATATTATATGCGTTCGCACTTATTATTAAACAGCCCCGAGCGTCGTCGTATGATATATACTTGTTGCTGTCTCTCAGTGAGCTTCGAGGGTTGCAACGGATACCAGTTTGCTTTCCTTATGATATAATATACACAATCAGCCGTGCTGTACTACACGTATCGCCGAGCGGTGATCCTAGCCTCCTCCTCCTCCTCCCCTCGCAGCAGCAGCAGCAGCAGCTGCTGTAGCCCATGCACTCGCGAGCTTTGATTCGCTTCTTTTTTTGGTCTTCGCGCGCACCCTCAATCACTATGCAATGCCTTGGCGCAGTTCAATATCCTACGTAGCGAATTATACGAGATGAATGACTATCCTGGAATCCTGTGGGGAGCTTTTCGGCGCGAGGAGCGACAACGGCGACGACGACGACGACCCTGATGTACCCATTGAGCAACAACGCCTATATCCTCATTCGCACCCTCTCTCTTTCTCTCACTGCATATAGCTCTTGCACACGATACAACGACGAGACTATCGCAAGCTTTGTCGGTGATACGCAGCATCCCTGATCTTCTCGAATTCTAGACTCGCGTTAATGATGAACAACGCGATAAACAAATGGTCACGGGGGAGGGTTGTCCTCGCCCCCCCGGCACGTAATATACTCATCCTGTATCTCCGTATAGATAGATATGTATATTTGTATGTACACTGGACCGAGCAGCGCTCACCGCAGCGGCGGCAGCGGCGGATGATTTTATTATGCGCTACTTGGACCTCGAGTTCAGTAAAAGCTCAGTTTTGATCATACAGCGTTTCTCTCTCGGATCAATCTACAAGCACTCACTCTGCTGTTCGCGGTCTTCGTCGGGAGGATATTCGCGGAATCATTCGCAGGCACGCACACACGCGCAAGATTACAGCTCGTAATAGTACACACACACACAGGTAGCAGCAGAATAAAAAGCTCCTGTCTCGCACTCGCGGACGAGCCGCGCAGTTCAATGGTACACTAGCGGGCAAAGCGCCGAGCTTTAGCGCACTACTGCCTATTTCGTATATACGTATCTGCGCTTAGAGGGAGAGGGGTTGTAGGTAGGTACGTAGGTGGTATATGTGCGTGCGAGGTGTATAAGGGCTGAGCTGCTGCTGCTAAAACGGCATCGATCGGTGAGGCGCCTGCGCTATCCTCGCGCGCAACGCCGCCTCTCAGCTCTCTCTCTCTCTCTCTCTCTCGAGCTGTATATATTATATAGTCAGGGCCATGATGCACACATGCGGCCCCAGCTGCGCGCGCGAGATCTCGCCCGAGCCTGTGGACTATGGAGAGATCTGTAGCCCTCCCATGTATAGCACGCGAACTTTACGACTCGTTGCGGCGACGAACGTCCTGCGCGGCATTTATAATATTATTTTTTAACCGTAAAAAAATGTGCCAATCACAATCTTTCATTCAAGCCTACTTTACCTTATACGATCATTTATGACTTGCCACTTGTGGGTTTACGTTTAATGATACTCGCCACCTTGCGGCGTGAGTTGAATTTCATTATTGTCGAGCTTTCATTGATTTCGATGAAAAGTATTTGAAAAAATACTAGACATCTGAAAAAAATGTAAATATGATGAATGTCTTCAGAATTTCGTATTAATCTTCATTATGCTCTAGAATGAGCTAGGAAGTTTCAATCGAACTTTTGAAACGGTCAAAATTTATTCAAATTTGACAAGAAATTCAAAAAAAAATTTTTCAAATTTTTTTACCGGAACCATCGGGTTCCAGGAACCTTTTTTGTTAAAAATAACGGTTTTCGGCTCCAGATGCTATCACCTTCAATTAAAAAATCTGAAAAAATTTGAGATTATGTATTTTGATGAACAAAATGAGAAAAAAATTTTTCCAGATTTTTCGAGGCTCCGTAGCGCCTTAAAAAAATTATTTTCTTAAAAAAAGCGGTTTTTCAGCTCTAGGCTGAATGGACATGAATGAAAAATTCTGAAAAAATTCAAGGAATCGTTTTTTGACGTCAGAATTTAGAAAAAAATACTCCGGTCTGGTACATCGAACCATTTCACCGAAAATAAAATAATTTAAATTTTCAATGATTTTTTTGTGAAGGCCTGAAGCACTCGAAAAATCTGAAAAAATTCAAGATTGATTGGATTGTTGAAAAGTACCTTCATGAATTTTTTCAGATTTTTTAATAGCTTCAGGCCTTCAGAAAAAATGTAGATAGAAAATGGACGTCTATAGAGGAGGAGGGAGGTAGGAGGGGGGAGGGGGTCCAAAATTTTGGTTTTGGCACTTTTTTATCATGTACTTATAACATACCAAAATTTCAGGATAATCGTGAACCTCGCCCGTGAACCTCGCCCGCAGGTTTATTTGAAAAATTCTGAATCTGACCCATATAATAATTGAAAGAATTAGTATTCATATATTGAACTATTGTTTGATGAATCAAATAGTTAAACTTAAAATATGATTTTATCATTTTTTTAATGGAGATTGAAATAAAAAATCGTTGAAATTGTGCAAAAGAAGAAACGAAAATCTATATTCAACTTAAGGGACAGAAAAAGAGCGTAGTGTATAAGCCGGAAACTTTGTCAAGCCTTTGCCGCTAGATAGCGAATAGCTCTTATTCATGCTTTCGAATGCCACGAATCTTCTCATATAGGTATGCAATATCAACATTAATGCACTTTTCTTTGCAAAATACAATATTGTAATGCAATTTATTGTAATATCTTTCATATTACACTCGATGACAATAATTTATTGATCAAAAAAGTTAATAGCAAATTATTATACCTATAAACAGGAATTTAGCATTATTTAATACCTACAAATGGAAATTTACGCAAATTAAATTTAGTCAAAGTATTTTTACAATAATAGATATATGTAAATAAAAATGTTAGAGTATTTACGATCGAAGTAAAACTTGAAAAATTAAAATTTGATGGTAAATAACTGTTTTATCGCCGTTTCAACTCTCGAATACATCGATGAGCATTGGACGTGCTATCGTGCAAGCGTGGCAATACATCAGAGTGTGAGAAACCAAACCGTGGATTTGTAATTGACGTAAGTAATGCAGTCATACAATAAAATAATATAATATAATAAAATAAAGAAAAAGACATTTTTTGGGCAAATTTGGTTTTTCAATTGATTATTTCGTGAATTTAAAAAAAAAACAATAGAAAATTATTCTTTATCGCTACTGCAAAAGTTAAAACTGATCGTGATTTTTTATATGCACAAATATTATTAATTTACGCATTATCGATAGGTATAGCTGATCGATTTTTTTTTATTGAGCAATTGCCGTAAATAAAATTGTAGCCCGCGCGTGCAAACTGATTTAGATGGCTAATATGAAAGAGCCTTAACCTTTCGTCTGCGGCCATGTGCCGCGTGTGTGTACACAACTTAAAGTCGGCCGTCGGCGTAAGAAAACCGGAGTAGCGGACGACTTTTAATTCCTGCGTGGTTATGTTTGACATAACATTAATTTTTAATATCTTGTATTGCTTTTCAACTATCGTAAACAAATAAACAGGTGCCTGTCACGTATCCATTTGGATCATACGAATCAACCCAGTAGAAGTTTTGGTATGTCACTGATAATTGATTAAAATTTAACACAAAACATCAATCTGACATTTATGTTCTTTGAGTGGTTAATAAAAAATATTACTGTTTATGTTGCAGGTTTGTTTTCAAACATGTCAATAACAAATTCTGTGCTGTTGAGATGTTGCCAGTTTGGCTATCAGCAAATAAGAACCAAATACATTAAGAAAGCCAGAGCAGGCCTCAACGTCGAATGGAGAATACAAAATAAAAAAACCATCAATCCTAATTCTTTTGGCCCTCTGACAAATCTACCCGATTACTCGTTCAAAGATGGTAGAGTAGTTCCTTACGGAACAAATCAATTGAGGCGCATAGAAGAACAAGCTAAAATATACAACAGGGTCTATCAGCTGTCTGGAGAAATGGACGCAGCCGTTGAGAAATACAATAAGAAGCAAGAGGCCATTAAAAGACTAGAGGAAAAAATCATAGCTGGTAAATTGAAAGAGAAAGGCAAAGTGAAGCTCGTGAATGCATAGAGCCTTGCTTGTTGAATTGAAAAGCAGTTGTTTATTGTTAATCTGTATCATAGGTACTTTAGATTAAGATATATGTATTTATATTTATGAATGACGCATAAAATAAAAATTTTGTGTGTTACCAAATTAATATGAAAAATTTTTTCAATAATTTAATTGTTCCATGATCAAATACTTTGCCAGTTACTCAATTGTTAAATAATTATCAATTATCTTACACAAATGAATTATTATTTATACACCGTAATAAGGCCAACCATAGATTCTCCATTCACGTTAATTCGTAGTTAAAAAATTTTTTGAGGCCACGTCTATGTATCAAATTCGTTCGCATCGTAACCGGAAATGCGTCTACTTTACACACGTAGTACGAGGCTGTTCCGTCGCGCATCAACGAGTACATTGCATACACCCGCTTGTAATGTACTCTATACGGTCTCATGGATATGTTGCGAGATTGGTAATCATGTCGTTCTCATATTGTTTTATAATGATTGTTGCATATAAAAATATATATTACATTATCATCATCGAGTCAAATCGAGCCAAACAAGTGTGCCACAGACGCGTTGTATAGAGGTGATACAAAAACGCACGCCTGCGTGTCTATTGAACTCGTTGCATCTGACAAGTGCTCCGCCTCTTTTTTTGATACTTGACTACAAATCTATTGAGTTTACCAAAATTCGTATTTTAGAGTTGAAGCAGACTTCTTCAATATTATTAGAAATCGTCTGATTTGTGCCAGAGGTTCTTTTGAATCATCTGCATTTTTCTTGAGTATTTTCTCATCGAAGTATTTGAGCTTAAGCCTTTCTGAAATTGCCTTAACAATTTTTCTCTATCATAAAAATTCGATGAGAAAGTTGTAATTTCGACCATACTCGAAAACAAGCGGATTAGCCGTCAATCATAGTATCACGCCATACGGGGCGGGCAATACCTACAATGCAACGTGTAAGAGCTAACAAAGACTATAAAAATGTACTTATGATATATTATATACCGTTAATAAAAAAGACAGCTAATTCGAATCTGAGAAATGTACTGCTATAGCTATAATTATAATTATAATTAAACGAAAAGTACCCATTAAATGCAAAGAGACACGTTATATATGGCTCGAATCGTGGCTGTATTTGCATTGCTTACATAAAGTCTGGAGTTTTTAACTTTAAAGGCGCATAAAAGTGTCCAAAATGCACTCGCTTACACAAAATGATATATAATATCGAGGTATTTTTTCTTGATCTTTCCGATGATAAAATTGAATTACATAAAATCATTTTTTATCGCGGTGAAAAGTGAAAAAAATGTACTGACTTCACTACGTACATTTTAGGTAAAGTTTATCGGATTATTGCTGAAAACGCATCGCTATCAATGCGAAAAGTCTCAATGTTTCGATCTTTAAAAAAATAAGTTTTAATCTTTTACATTTTTTTACGTGAAAAAATAGCCACGTTCGCAAAAAGTTACAGTGTAAATGTATTTTGAAACGCGTACCCTTTTCATTCATGAATTTTCGTATTCCTGATTAACTTTTCTTCAGTCCCTAATAACCGCGAATATGGAGAGGTTTCTGTTGAAGAAAAAAAAAGTCAAATTTTTCCATCTCACTTTTTGGAATTTTTTTTTAGAAGTCTCTAGAATATCCAAAAGAAATTTTTTCTGACATTGGATAGACGAGACTATAATAAACACAATAAACAAATCGCGTGCCGGTTCTATTGTAAACACATGGCTTATATCAAGCACCTTCTCGCATTAGCGATGCATCGTTTGAGAAGAATCAAAAGTGCTTTTTCATTCCGTGAGATTCTCTCGCTCAAGTTCGACACGTCGTAATAATTCGTCCCATATATCACTTGCGTGCCGCAACTCAAGTCGCTGTACACGGGCTCGCAACTACAGATGCGCAATAATTGCCTGTTATAATATAAGCGAGTCTATGGTCGATGGGAGCTGATGCGGAAATGACGCGAGCGCATAATATACGTGTACACGTACGTAACATCACAGAGATGCGGTCGTGTCATCCTCCTACCGTAATTTCTCCATCTCTCTCTGCCGTATGGGAAACTCGTGCTGTTCATTGAAACGCAAAAAAACGTCGACGACAAATAGATCGCGTGCTTGGACGAGGCTGCCGAGCAGACTCGCGCCTCAGTCGGTGCGCGAAACTTATACGCGATATGTGATCGCGTACGATCATGAACGTGCATGACCGTGAGCGCGTCAGAAAAAATGATTCGATTCTCGCGACTCAGCGCGGGTGTTTACTCTATACGTATCGTTGATCGATGTTTTTAAATTTGTGGCATCGCCTGAATTCGAACGATCATGATCGGAGCGCTGTTGCTAATTTTGTGGATATTCTGCGCTTCCGGCGCGAGGCTAGTGCAATGCCACAGCGCCGAGGAAGACCAGAGCGACTATCCGGCCGTGGATTACACGGATTACGTGCTCAGCACCACGGAATCGAGCAGTTCTTATTTGCGAAACGTCGTGAGCGAGCTGCAGCGATTTCACGGAATCGAGCCGAAAACGAAGCCACCGCCGAGAAGAAGACCGCCGATGGTCATGACTCCCGTGACCACGACGAGGCCGATTTTCAGACAGCCACCCACGCGCCTAGAGACGCAGGTTAGCGATATAAGTTGCCCGCGCGACACGCATTGCCTGCCACATGATTACGGTGAAAAGCGTCGCGGTTTAACATAAAAAAAAAGAAACGATGTGCGACGATGACGGGTTTTTTCCCTTGCGCTCGAAATATACGCTACTCAACGAAATTATCGCAACAAAAAACCAGTCGTATTTGAACACAACAAAAAAAATTACTGAAAAAAATCGATTGTTTTAAACGTGTCCATGGACTACAGTAATTTGTTTTTTTAAATTTAACATACTTCATCGTAAAATACTCTTTTAAACGAGTAATTATAAAACTAATAAGAATAATTTTGGCGCGTAAGATAATTTTGGCGCCTTGTAGGTCGTTTTGAAGGTACCATCTAAAGTACGTAAAACCCCTTGTTTAGCTAAAATTGACTCCATTTTCTGGCCTCTTGCGTACACAAATGGTACCTTCAAAATGCAAAAATTACCGTAAAGAGCTCGATTTTTTATAATTACTCGTTTAAAAGAGTTCTTTACGACGAAGTGTGTTAAATTTTAATAAACTATAATTACTGTAGTCCATGGACACGTTTAAACAATCGATTTTTTTTCAGTAACTTTTAGCGTTGCGCTAAAATACTACTGCTAACTCGATATTGACTTGAACCCAAACATAAAATACACTGCCATTCAATCTCTTTTGCCATACCTAAGTAAAAAATGAGTTAATGAGAATAAAAAAATCAATTTTTCTTATACTTGCTATTTCTCTCCTCACTTTAGTAGAAGTTCATGAAGAAACCTTCGAAGCCCATCAATTTGTAGGTTTTGACAAGACCTATGAATCCGTTTAACTTAAATTGTCCTACATGCATTCCTCGCAAAGATACGGTGGTTTAATTATACAGAAATAATCATATTCATTTTTCAATTTTTTTTTCATTCACATGTACACGACTTTGCGAATGAGATGGGAAAATACTTTATTTACAAAAAATGTTTGTTTTTGTATATAGAATAAGAATTAGTAGTTATGGATCAGTTTTTTAGTATATTAACGGTTTTGGCTCATCAAATTTAAAAAATTTTTAAATTTCAAAAAATATTCGGGTCCAGTAAATGTGTCCCGTGTCTATGTGAAAAATGCACGTAGGACAATTTAAGTTAAAGGATAAGAAGGTTTCCACATGAGCCTCTACTAAAGTGAGGAGTGAAATAGCAACTATAAGAAAAACTGCTTTTTTTGCTTCTTTATTTGTTGAAATTAATTGGTGAATTAATGATTGGACGATCCTATCATATTTTATATAGCTGTAAAGCGCTTGTAAAGACCTTTCTAATGGTATTTTTAAAATCCTGATACGATCTTTATTGATTGAGCTATAACAGTTTGAAGTTTACTCATTTTTTATTTAGGTATGGCAAAAGTGATCGAACGGCAGTGTATATGAATTTGTAAAGGACAAAATTTCCAAGAAATCAAAAAGAAAATTCGTTCCGATACTATGAAAATAGAAGAGACTAAGATAAGAGCATTTGAAAATTAATAAAATTTCGATGAAATTTTTTGTGGAAATAATTTTGTTGAATATTATATATTTCTATTTGAAACATAATTTAGTTTGTTTTAACGTTTAAAAAGCGAGATAAAAGATTCTGTAAATCCAATCCTTTTTTTGAGTGCATGCATAATCTCACACGTAAAAAGAAAAAAAGAAAAGTATGTCTTATGAGCCTGAGAGATTACTCCTAAATTTTATCAAAAATGTTACATATTTTTCATCCGAGTATAACAAAAAGTGCACCAGGTCAAAAGCTAAGGTAATCCGACGAATTTTTAAGGTCAATTAGGGTTTTAAGGTAATTTAAAAAAAACGTGGAAAAAATCTCTCTCGGGCTAATAAGCTTGACTTTTGCTACACTTTTGTTTTCGTATTTTTCACAAACTTTTTTTACGCGAGCAGTGTAATCGGATTTTCACAATGCAATTCTTTTTTCTCGCGCTTTAAAAATGCACAGCCGAGCCAACAGCAGATAGTTCAACAAAAAAGGCCTATGGCGACGCCTCCACAAAATCCCAGCGTACTCGGCTTCACGCCGGCCCAACTGGCCACCATGTACCGGACGGCCCTCGAGCAGGGCTCGCCCTTGCGCTACGACGACCTCGTGACCTCGATCAATCGCTACCTGCCGAAAATTCTCGGCCTGGATGGCAACGAGATAAATCAAAATTCCGTCGAGCCACCGATGGCTGCTGCAGCGGCGAATTTGCCTTATCATTTGACACCGCCGCAAGTGGATCAAAAGTACGCATATTACTTTTATCCGCTCGACACTTTTCGACACGAGTTGATAGATTCCCACGGATACAGGACGCTGGTATGCCACGATTCATATTAACATTTCTCAAAGTGCACGGCAGAACGTAATTAACATATCGTCGCTTTCTTTTTCATTGTAGCCACCCGCCCGTCCATACGATTTTTATGGCAATCGACATTATGGTGATTTGGTTCCCGCGGAAAGCATCCGTCTTCCCATGACAGCAGCCGCTACTACTGCAACTTCGTCAACTAATCCCATCATAGTTGGCCTCAGCAGTTTTCTCGGAATGGCACTGTTCTTCATAGTAAGCCTTTTCGTGTACCCAAGGTTCATACACTTTTTCAATTTTCCACTCGTCGCGACTCGTGGTATAACGCGTCAAAGCCACGCTGCGCAAAGCAGCCTCGTTGCCAGATTGGTTTGGGAAGCGCTCGATAGCTATAGTCGAGCCAACGTTTCTTTGTCCAAAGTAAGTTCAAGTATGATCGATTATAATAACGCCACAATTGCATAGGAATTTTGAAACGTGCTCTTGAATTTCTTCTTCTCATTATCTTTTTCTTTTCAGAAAAATGATTCGGCTTTTCGTGGCACGCGAACAGCAACGACGACGATGACATCTATGATTCGTCGGCGTTCGCGACGATGAGAGAGAGGGAGGCAAAAAGAAGCCACGAATGTAGGTCAATTGTTTCTTCGACTGCTACTTTTAATTAATATAACTAATTATGCGCAAGTAAAAGCGCCGACTGCAATTTATTATTTAATTAAAAGATGATATGTTGCATTTATACAATTAAGCGATAAGAGCGAAATAAAAAAGTCAGCGATACACTGCAATTTTTCATTTAATAATATGTACGTTTGTCGTATGATCGGCTTTATTGATACAACTTAAATTTTTTTATTTTTCCTATAATTTATTATGTATAATAAATACATACGTGTGTGCTTTTATAGTATTTACATTATCGTTATTACTTTTCTCCGGTATAAATCGCTTCGAATATTGTGTGATTTGTTGTTTCAGTCAAAAATACTTACATACAATTTGTGGCTGCATTTTTTTATGTAAATAAATAAAAAAATAATTAAAAATTAAAACTTCAATCGTTCGAATGTAAATAGTTTATATGAAAAATAAATAAAAAGAGTAAAAAGGTGTATAAATGTGAAGCGTCGTTCAACAATTGAGACGTATCTAGAAAATTGGTAGTTTTCGTTACTTAGCTTAAATTTTTATAAATTACGCTAACAATGGCTGCTTTGCCAGCTACTTCGTTCGATAATAGAAAACAAAAAATATTATTATTATTAGTTAGTAAAAAATCGATTACTTTATATTATTTTATAAATATGAATATAAAAAGATCACGACTTTTTTTCTCATCTTTTCCTTAATTTATACGACCTGTAAAATTTATACAATTTTTCCAGTTTTTTTTTCACTAAATTCGAATCGAATGTATATGAATGACTTTACGCTTGGTTTTTTTCTTTTGTTTATGTATACAATAATTAACGTACCGTTGACAAGAGAATTCCATGGTACAAAATTCAACGTTGACTAGAAAAATTGAAAGATTACTTTAAAAATTCAACAAAATGATCATTGTTACGTATCGGAAAAATTACAAGATAAATTGGTTTTTTTCTAAAACATCCGCCTAAATGATTTTTGACCTATGATACAAAATAAAATTACGTATATTAGATGAGCTTAAGACTCTAGCTTATAATATAATACAATAAAAAATATTTTTAAAAAATCGGCATTGGTAGCTGCGACTCGTATACACGAAAAATCGTCGCTACGAATCACAAGTGCGCAGATATATAAAAAAAAGAAGAATTATACATTCATCAGCGGTAAAATTCTTATCATCAAGAGTTATTCAATAGTATGAAGCTTCATCACTTCTAGTTGTTAGATATAATATAAAATGACTTTGGAATCGCTACATTCGCTAATCCGATAATGTAGAATCCAATCTTATTTGTGCACGTATAACAAGTTTAAATTATTGATTTCCTTTACAAAAATGGAGTCGGAAAGAGTCGTGCATTGACCGACGCTTAGTATAGTGCAGATAAGAAAAAAGGCGGTGATTTTCATAGGCCTCTTGCGTCAACTCATAAAAAGCTAAGCATCAGTGCTCACTTAACATACTCTTTCGTATGCAACTTTTATATAAGTATTAGATCGTACGCTATAATCTCGTATGCACACCTTGATTTCCTAAAGCTTAAACATGATTATCATAAGTTTGAAGATTACAAGTATTCAAAGTCATAAAAATTAACGCTGGTTTTAATTAACGATGATGGTTCATTGACACAAAATATTTTGTACCCATCATTTCTCACACTTTGGCAGACAAGCTCTTTAAAAATATCATACTTATTAGTTTCTCTAAAATATTGCAAAACTTGTCATTCTGCTTATAAAATTTATTACAAAATTTGTATAAGTATATAAATATACATTCTTTAAGAGAGATTATGCATTTCATTGCTCTCAAACAGTCATGAAAAATATTTCAAAAACTGCTCATTATTGTTACTTTTTCATCAGTCAATGACAGATATTCAATGAAAAATATAGCAGACAATATTTTAGAAAAACTTTTTTTCTTTTGTGCAGTAGTGGAATTCTTCATTTATGTTTATCGTTTTATTGAGTATCAAATTTAATTACGACTAAATAAAAACTCACGATCGTCAACTAAATAATGTATTACTTTTTTTCATAAAAAAAACTCGAAAAATCTATTCTAAACTAAACTTTTATCCTGGGGCTTCTTACCTCTAAGGTCGCTTACTGCATAAAATGGATTAAAAAAGCAAAGTTTTTTTATAAAATCACTCTATAGTAAATTAAAATGTATTATGCCCATTAGGTAATTAGTTATGGCAAGATGTCTAATGAGAATATCAGATAGTTTATGGACTTGTTGGTTCTCACTGAGGTTCCGTTTCATTTTCTTCCGCCAAATTATGTAAATCTAAATAATTAACGATCCCTCTGTGAAGGAATTCGTACTGAGCCTGTAAAATAAAAAGAAATATTAAGTATATGCTGCCCTGTAGGCTTTTCATTCGGTATCATTTTCAATATACTTACGAAGGTTGTAATCATTCCTTGTCGTTGGGATCTCAGCTTTTTCACAGTCGTAAAGATATCGACTCTCTTTTCAGAGCGCAATTGCTGTACCAGTATACTCAAAGCAACAAACATTGAGCTCCTGTCCGAACCGTGATTGCAGTGAACGACAAGCGGTCCCGTTGCTTGAGTATTATTGGTCTGTGTCTGATCGATGAGTTCGATTATTCCTCTTGTAACTTCTGGCACTTCACCCTCGACTGTTGGCCAGCCGTGATACTGATACTGGGTTACGACGACATTGTCATCGTTCTTCGTGTTAGTCACACATAATTCGCGTCGAGTGAAGTATGGGCAACTCTCGCTTTGAATGTAACGAACTCGAATGTGATCGTAAGATATTTCATCGTCAGGCCAGTAGCGCGGACATTTACGGGGTCCATCGGCCAACTGTAAGATAATAATTTTTTATTTTTCATTCAAAGATATACTTAAAAAACATGGCAAATAAATGAATAAATCGATTCTTACGTCTGAAAGCATGACAATTGTAGATATACATTGCTCGGATATCATTCGCCAAAAATCGGGAATCGTTAAGTCTAACGGATCTTGCGCAATAATAAACGATTCCTTGTTATTGTAATCCTCGATAAACGATGCATTTATGTATGTCGAGTGCTCTTTGCCTGGCACAGGAGTCAGAATAACTCGATTTCTATCATAAGGTATGATCGACTCGTTTCTGTTTTTATTTTTATTTTCTTCGCCACCTCCCGCGGAAAATGATTTCCTATCTTCAATTACGGCAGTTATTTTCTGAAATAAATACCGAAGAATTTTAATGAAATTATATTGCATTAAACATTATTTAAGATACCGAAGCCAGCGGGATCTAAACATTTTCAAATGTTTTTTGTTAGCCTGGCTATGGTATCTTTTCAATGATCATAAACATACATCGTATTCCTCTTCCATTCGACATTTCTCTTTGCCGTTTTCTCGCTGGCGTAGTTTATCAACAGCTCCTTTGAGCGACGTCGCAGCCAACTCCGTATCCCCGTATTGCCCGAGCTCCATCAGAGCTCGATAGATGAAAATGTATTGCTTCATTGACTGGACCAAGAAATTTCTCTGATGCCTCAAGTCGCAAACGGTATTGAATATAGACACCTGACCCTCGTCGGCCAACTGTTGCATTAAAGAGTCGAGCGCGACCAGAGTTCCGGTCCTGCCTACGCCCGCGCTGCAATGCACCAAGATGGGCCCTTTCTCCAGCGAGTACGCCTCGTTCACCCGCTTGATGAACCTCAGAATCGCGCTGGCGTGCTCGGGAGCCATGAAATCTTTCCAAGTCAAAAAGTGATATTGAACGATCTTTCGTGAGTCACGCTCGCCGGTCTTGGTCATTTTGAGCTCGCGCACAACGTAATCCGAGAACTTGTGCTCACCGACGTGCTCGACGGTGATCTCTCCGAAATTTTTCGTCTCGGCCTTGTCGGGCCAGTACTTGGCGCACTTCGTTTTCGAGTACTCCTCGAGATTCGTCAGCATCAATACGAGCTCCAGATGCTGCTCCCATATCATTCGCCAGTAATCGCAGACCGTATTCTCCATGGGGCCCTGCGCGCAAATAAACTTTTTGCGCTCTTTGTAGCCCAGCACGAAGTTGGCGTTAATGTAATCGGATCCGATTATGCCATCGACTTGAGCCAGGCGAACACGCGTCTGATCGTAACATTTGATGTCTGGATAACGATTTTTGTAAATATTCTCGCGCGCCTCGGAAGCCCGGGTCGTGCGATCGGAAAATCGATCGGGCAAGAGCTCGAACTCATGTTGAAATCCATAATCAGAATCTCGGTGTCTCTCCAAGTATGCTTGCAGCAGATCATTTTTCGGTATCGGAGGCATATCTGGCGGAGTAGCTGCGACGAGCTGATGTCTTCCTCGCAGACTTTGACATAAATGCCTGATAACAAATAATTCATTGATAAACGATTGATCAGCTTAAAGATAATTTAGGGCGTTAATACAAGTGGATCAATAAGTAAATAAATAATCACGAAAATCCATTTTGAAAAAAACTTACCGAAAACTATTTCTGAGAGTTATTATTTCTTCTCCGCGCTGCTGTACTCGCTTCGAGTAACGATGCAGAACGCAAAGCGTAATCAACAACACGATTATTACCATGATTAATACAAGGGAGATTTGTAAAATGACACCAAAAGTCGTCATGTCATCCTCCATCACGAGTTTCGGATCGATGCCTCCAAAGAGCGGCGGTAAATAGCCACTGTATGCAGGTAAATACGTATCCTTTTCTGTTCCGTAAACTAATAAAACACACCAGAAAAATTCAAGATAAAACCATTTGAATTTAAAAAAAAATTGTTTTTCCGTTATCAATGAAATAAAGGATTGCTAACCAATAACTTCTAAAAATGCAGTATAGTTAGCTTTATCATCTAGGACGCCGTCGTAGGGCATCAAGGAGCTTTCGTAATCGTCCTTGTGAGGTACATCCTCGCGCTTATCGCGCAAAATACTTTCAGTCTCGGCGGTCATCGGCAGTGGGGGCGTGGTGAGATGAGTATAATTTACAACATTCGTAAGAGTGTAACTAGGCGACGAAGTCGTTGGTTCCGCTATCTGAGTGCTAGGCTGCGTGTCTTGATCCAAGGAGTTGCCGTTCTACAAAAGTCAAGCATCAAACGTAAAAAATCCTCATCGATCGAAACGCGATGTTTCAATTTTGTGGCGATTCTTACCTCAGGTACGAAAGATAACAAAGTCGGTATGCGTTTCTGGCGAAGCCCAACGCAACGTTGACAGGCGTCACTTCCGTTTTGAGAGATACCATCTCCGATGAAAATTTCAGGGGGCAGGTAAGACCCGTCGAATACTTCCGCGAGATACGCGCCACCGAGCGGCGATTGATGCACGTATTGATAAGAAAACACGGACAGTTCCTCGGGTTGCGGAAGGTCGGCCAACATTTTATGAGGCGCGAGTTTGACCACGAAAATTCGATAGCAGCAGATAGGCCCGTTTCTCTCGGAGATTTTTCGCGTGTAAATCGTGAACAATTGTCGATCCTGACTCGCAACTTTGTCCCAAGACTTGGAGTTCAAATTCAGATTATCTTTATCAGGGACGGTTGCGGGCATCATACAGTTCGTTATCGCATCTTCTCCGTAAAATCGTTGACGATTTTGAGAAGCCACACGAATCTGGGAGATAATTTGTATAAGTCAAAAATGTTTAATTAGCGATAAACTATACAAAAATTATGCAATCTTTACCGTATAATTTGTATTCGGAGGCAGTTGTGTCTTTCTAAATGTATTGTATTGTATATCGACGTGTTCGATGAAAGGCTTCAAGTACTCCTGCTTCGAACGGCCGTTCTCATCCTTGTAAAAAGCCGAGCCATGTATTTCAATTTTATATTGTATAATTATGCCATTTGCTTTCTCTGGAGGTTCCCAATTTATAGCCATTAAACTCGTTCTACTAATATTGTCAAAACGACATGACACAGTCAATTTTCTTGGAGCACTTGGCACTTAGAGAAAAATTAAGAAATTATTATTATAAATTTTTTTTAACTTATTTACATCATTTTTATAAGCTTCTCATAACTACCTCCATCTAATGTTTCAGCTTGAACCTCTTTGCTCCAATTACCACATACTTTGGTGTACTCATTGCAGGCTGAAATTTTAAATTTATAAGTTGTTGCTGGTTCTAGATATTCAAATAAATAGAGCTGATTGTGCTGAACAGGTGCAATGGCTTCTCTGTTCTGATTGCCATGGCTTGCACCAATGATGTAGTAATGAATGTGTTCTTTCAAATGAGGTGGAGGCTGATGCCATGAAATTGTAGCTGTGTTTGGAGTCATACCATTCACAGTCAATTCAGGTATGAATATAGGGTCTGAAAATTAAAATTAATGATAAGGTTTCAATGATTAAGGTTATTATCATAATAAGTATGAAAATTACCCTTTTCTAATGTTTTGATCCAGGTGGGATCTATGTACAAATGAGATTTTCCTATTTTATTTTTGGCTGTTATACCAACTTGATAGGCTGCTCCTTTTTCCAAGCCTTTGAGTACATAGCTAGTGTTTTTGCCATTAATTAATTCAGTATGATATTGCCAAGTTTCACTGCCATTCTTCATATACTGAATCACATAAGACTCAATTGGTTCATTACCATTGTTGACTGTCCAATTTAAAAATATACTCCCAGCACCAACAGTCTTAAGGAAGTCAATATTAATGAGGGGAACATCAATAACAAAAAGATGTCTCTCAGCAGTCACAGCACCATTAAAGTCTTCAGCTCCACAAGTATATGTACCATTATCTTTGCGAGTAGCACTTTTGAAAGAAAGAGTCAACGATACATGGGTTTCGTTGACCTGCGACCAAGTGGTCATATTTTTAAGGCGCTCCTGATTATCATCATTAGATTTAGACCATTTAAAATTAGAAATAGGATTGCCATAAAAATCACATGTCAGTTGAATTGGCTCCGATGTTTTAACTCTAATTTTTTTACTTGCTTCAACTTTTGCTGGCTCTACAATTGAAAGATAACCAAAAAATGTACTAAACCATATAACATTGAGCACATAAGTTATACCGGTACTCACCTATTACCCTAATGTAAATAGTCTTTGATACATAACCAGAGGATAATACAGAATTACATGTATAATTGCCGCTATCTTGCCTAGTAGCTTGTTTAATATCCAATCTCTCCATAAACTCTGAGTCTTTGACAGAGGTCAGATTTTTGTCATTGTAACTCCACCAAATACTGGGAGACGGTTCTATAGTTTTACAAATGAGGGACGGAGTACTACCGGATTCAACCCCATGAGGATCCTGAGAGACAATAATGTCTAAAAGCTCTATATCGTTAGGCCCTGTATGTGGCAGCACTTCATCGACTTCTAAAACATCAAGTCAAGCAAAACAGAAAGATTTCTATTAGACAATCCACAACATCAAGGTAATGAGTCAGTAACGTACCAATGTCGTTATTCATACGTTATAAACATTATTAAAAAGTATAAATTAATTCATCGTGACTAATAAGACTGATTCCATCGAGTTTACTCACGATTTTCGCTGGCAGAGCTGAATGTGCTCAGGGTCAATAGGCTGGCCGCTAGCAGGGCCAGTGCTAGATGCCGAGACATGTTGCCGGGTTGTTATTTCGACGACACACGCACTCTGAATCTCGGAGCTGCACAACTGCACAGCAGCACCACCCTCCAACCGATGATTAAACTTCCCAGAACCGTATCATCGTCGTCGTCCAAGGGATTTCGGCAGCGGCTCGTCGCATACGTTACTAACGTTATTGGCGCGTTATGAATATTTCATTGAACGCTGCTGTGCTGTACTGTGCTGTGCTGTGCTGTGCTCGGCGACTGCTGTATACACCGAAGTTTTTTAACGCGCGGCGGCTACTATACGGCCGCCGCCTTTCGCGCGCCTTTCACGTTATGTACTACTAACTCTAAACGTTGCGGCACACTCATGCGAATTGCGCACTGTACAAATACTACACACGCGCTCTCGATTGTTGCATAAAAAAAAAAAAGAAAGAAAAATTCGTTGTCGAAATAACGAAGGAAGAGAGAGTTATAAGCGAGCGCAGTTTCGCGGCGCACAGTAGTATAGTAAGTAGTCGTTTTTACAATAAACACGCACGCAGCACACTACGGTCTACACCACGATGGCTGCTGCTGCAGTTTTAGCGCTGCGCGAATTTACATTCAGCAGAGAGCGCACAGAGCACACAGAGCGCGGCTTATAGATATGTGTGACGTGTGTGTGTAGCTATACACACACCAGCAGCAGCAGCAGCAGCAGCTCGTAGCGTCGTTTTCTCGCGAGTTCGGAGCTGCATAAGCAGCATCAGCATCCAGCATCAGTAGCATGAGCAGCAGCAGCCGTACAAGCAAAGCCGGCAGCTGGCCGTATACAACACACCATTTACATTATGATTATGCGCGCATCGTCGCGAGATCTGTGTCATTTAAGAGTGACGTATACACGGTACACACACATACACATACATAAACTTAGCCGGATGAAATAAGAGAGAACGAGAGAGAGAGAGAAAAACGACTCCGAACGATGCGCCAAGATATTAATGAGCAGAAGAGCCAACTATATAGTACGATTGGCTACATGCTATTTTGCTCCGCCGCAAAAAGGACCCTTTACAAGCAACCGCTACTAGTTACTACTATACTATAGTACGAGCGGTCGAATATCGCCGACGCGCTCCCGACGTATAAGCTTTATACTTTAGCTTTACCATTGCCTATACGTACTCCAGACGCAGCCCAGACTTTGCAGCTTATATACCTAATATAGCAGCGGAGCAGAGTAGCGCACTCGAGCTACTTGTATGTATATGTACAGGCCTATATCATATCGAAGGCATCGATGTATTTGCGCAATTTTAACACTCTGCAAACGCTCCGCATTGTGTTATAATGGTATACTATATACTACGGCGCATCGTTAGCACACTTGCAGTGCAGCAGCAACGAGTATACAAGCGCTTTTGTTTTGACGCAACTCTTTATACATTACTATATACACATTACATTGTATGTATACACATCGTGTACCAACGTCGATGCTTTCGCGTCTATGACGAGTACATACGATGTATATAGCGTATACGTATATTATTATCGTAACGTGACGTACTACGACGCCGACACCGCTTATACACACGCTATGTACAATATACATTTACGCCGCTGTCGTATAGTGTTACTGTATATACGTTCGGAGTAGCAGCAGCGGCACACGCGGGTGGCATTATCGCGTGGAAGCGGCGGCGGCAGCACGAGGGACTCGCTCGTTTTTGCACTTCAGGGTTCGGTCGCGCGACAGACATATACAACATATACTGTACGTTACGGGGGCCGGTACAGTAGGAATCGCTTATGCTCTCTGGAGCTCAGCCGCTCCCAACTATATAATACTGCTTTATATGATACAGCTACAGGTATACTCGTATACGTTTAATACACAGCTCTCGGCGTGGCACGTAAGAGCCGAGGCGCGTTTCGCTTTGGCCGCTTTGGGCTGCGCGAGTACACATGCACGCGATCGGCAGGCGGCGTGAGTGCACAGGCGTGCGAGCTGCAGGCGCGAGCGCGCGCGCAAAGCGTCAAGGCAGAGTTAGAGAGAGAGGCCGATGATTTTTCGGCCGTTGACTGCTGTCGCTGCTCCCGCTGCTGCATTGTAGTGCATTACACGGACGCTTAAGCCTTTAGCCTCTCTCTCTCTCTCTCTCTCTCTCTCTGCACTGCAGAGTGCAGTCTGCACCGAGCGCGCGCTGCACTTCGCTGCAAGCCGACGCGTGTACAGTGCATGGCCGCGCGCGTGTATTGTATTCTATATAGATAGGCACGGCGTAAGAACGGCGTTACAAAGAAGTCGAGTGACAAAAAGGTGTCTTAGTTGAAACCTTTTTTTTTAACTTAGTAATGGTATCATCTTTTTAACAATAGGAATCTGAGGCACGTTTTTGAAATACTCGACTTTTTCAATACGGTCCTGGTTATTACGGTCTTAGGGTTATAGGCACGCGGTAAAAACTCCCGTAAATGGATACTTCTTGAAAGCGGACAAATTATCTTGCGGTCCCGAAAGAAATACATTGTTTCTTTATATGGGGCTAGCACTTCTCAATAGCGAACACCTCGGTTAAAGGCCACGTACATACTTTTTTTCGTCGAAATTAAATTCCGAAACAAACATCCAAAAATATATCCCTAATATCAGTACGTAATTATGATTATGGTCCTTAACAAATAATCAATGCATTATCATGCTACAAGTTTTTAACTTTTGTCATCCGTTTTAATCTTAATTTTTTAACCACCTCTCAGGCTCTGAATAGGTGTACAAATTTCCTCAGTCCCGCGTCAACGCGTGCGAGCTTATGAGCTTATAGTTGTTGACAGTTCGCGTGCGTACACACACACACACACACACACACACACACACACACACACACACACACATTACGAAATCATACCCACACATCCATCTACAGATATATATCTATATCAAAGTAGGAGCAATGCCGCAGCGGCAGAGTAAAGAGTTTAGCGCTGCTCTTTAATAATTTCGTTCCTGCGCTATAGCGTTAGCACCGCGCGCGCGACACAGTCCACTGCTGCTGCTGCTGCTGCTGCTATGTAATGTGTTGCCTGTTGGGTGTTGCGTAGTGTGCTGCGCCGCGGCTGCTGTGGCTGCATTACGAAGCTCTTCGTAGGAGAGTCTCTGCGCGTATACACAGTACTGACTCGGATGAAAATGCGCCCACGCGCTTCTCGACTCTCGGCTCCGAGTGTAGATCGTGTGTTTATATAGGAGAGAATTGAAGAGCGTATTAATGTAGCCACGTGTATACATATATTAAGTGTATTATAATACACATTACACACCACGATGCGCGTCTGTGTGGACAAGAGCGACGCTTATCTCTTTCTCACTCTTACGCTTACTCTTTACTTACACGATTTTTTTTTACTTTAAAGGAAAAAATTCTTTCGCCTAGAGATGCCATAACGGAGCCGCGGAGCTGCTCTCCGTACTCCCTGTGTGTATGTATGTATGTATGTATGCTCGCCAGCTCGTAAGAGAGAGAGAGAGAGACAGAGCGCAGGAAACGTAACGGTTAGGCGTCGTGTATATGGCATTTTTTGTTCCTCCTTTTTCTCTTCTTCTTTCTCTATCGCGCATTATTATACCTATATGCGTGTCTCCTTTTTTTTTCGTTCATTACGTCGCAGCAATAGTGGCATAGCTTGAAGCGCAGCAGCAGCGACGGCGGATTTAATAATCGTACAGTATAGCCCAACTCTTGGAGCGCCCGTGTGCGCTTACGAGCTATTATATTATGTTTTCTTATGTAAACACAGCAGCGCGGAGCGAGTTATTCGAGCGATAATCGAACGACACATATTTAAACACCGTACTACCGAAAAAGTTTGTGTGCCTGTGTGTCGTAAAAGTAGCCGTATACGATCCAAAGACAAAAAGTCGACAAATTCAATCTTGCTCCTCTTTTTAGAAATTTTCATGTCCCTCGTTAGGAGCTGCTGCTATACGTACACGCGCCGGACAAGTGCAACAAGGCAAGCCGAGCTACTGTGTCTGTACTACAGTATTATATACATATAGATCGAGGAATGAATCATTGCTCGCTGCGCAGCGCGCGATGCATCATCGGCAAAACTGCAGTATAGAGTAGTATACTCATTAAGTATATACACTGTGCCCTCGACGCTTGTATTATTTGAATAATATTTTACGCCGCGCTTATTTGTCTTAAAAAAAACAATTATATTTCCTTACTCGAGCTCGTGGCATTGTGTTGAAAATCACTTGCCGCATTGGTATACGTATTTAATGCGCTCGATCGTTAACGCTCGCAATAATAAGTGTATATAATAATACACACGAGGACTCGGTATATATATAGTAAAGCCGCTTATGTGTTCAAGATTTTCTTGTAGGAAACCTAATAGACATCCCGAAAAAAGGAGAAGAAACACCTTTTTTAGAGGCGGTTAAAAGTCAGTAGCCTTTCGGTTCCGCTGTCGGGCTCGCGCCGAATCTAGAAGAGCGTAAAGTATAAGCGACATACTTTTTAATTTAGTGTATGGAAGTCACAAACAGGATGGACCACGCCAGCATAGACGTGCTGTACACAGACGATCAGCCCACTATGATCGTCGTAGTGTCGGTTTTTGTTTTTATCTCGTCGTACGTTTAACTCGGGCCCCCGTACAATCGAGAGCGTTTGCGGCATCGTATACGGCCACTATATAGCGTGGCACGCTTACACGGCTCGTCATAGTCGAAGAATTCGTCTTTGATTCGAAAGTAAAACTCGCTCGGCGTTGTATATACTCCTATCCTATCCCTCCCCGCGTGTATAGTAGAGGAAGAAAAGAAGAGCAGAGATCGCATCGGGCCCGATGAGTCAATTTTTCAGCGATCATATTATGTGCGTTTGTAAGAGCTAATATAATATGTGTATATTGCGAGGTTCGCGCGCTTAGCTCGCAAGCGCAACAGTTGTCACTCCACTGCGAACCGATCGCTGATTTTTCCTTTGGGCAGAGATGTCGAGCGGAGGAGTTTTGGGAAGCGAGAAAATTATGATTATACGCGCGATCGATGGATAGAGTTGAGAAATTAAGCTGTTCGATGTGTAAAAGAGAAACGTTCGGCAATGCAGTTTTGACGATTCTTTTCAGACTATCTGTATGCACTCAGCGACAAAATTTTGTCAACGCTTCTATCTCCGTATATTTTGATCATCACGAGATGTTTTTCTTTTCCATTTCTTGGAATTATTTTCTAATTTGAAGCCATATGTACTTTGAATGGATTTTAGTTGATTTCGAATTACTAGTAGCATTTGAACGCAACACTTTCAATGACAGAACATGATGGATCGTTTACACGTGTATCTGTATTACACTAATTTTATTAAAAAAAAAATTCTCTACGACTTTTTCAGCTACGTAAGCATTACGTTATTGATCGAATTTATTCTACTGATTTGGCCTGCACTTCAATGCAAGTGAATTATTTAAGCTAACACCTGCAATATTAACCTTACGAAGCATCAAATTTATAAAAGTTATCAGAGTAAAGTATGCCAATCGGCCATGGTCGCAAGCAAAAGCCAGACATAAGATGAACTGTAGCTACTCGTGTGTACAATTTTTTAGAATTTAGTATTCATT